ATGAATGTGGAGGAGCAGATGTCTCCGTGGGAGGATGGGGAGTCCTCTGGGCACACACCGAGGAGAGTGATAGCTGGGTCGGATGGAAGTTCTGCTTTCAGTTCTTAGAGAAAGCCCCAGACAGGTGTCCATAGCGGCTGCTCCACTCACATTCCCACTGATGGTGAGCGAGTGCTCGCCTTTCCGTGTGCCCTGGATAGCATTTGTTGTCATTTTTTTCCTCCTTAATAGCCATTCTGACTGGCGTAAGATGGAATTTCAAAGTAGCTTTAATTTACGTATCCCTGACGGCTGGGGATGTTGAGTGCATTTTAAAATATTTATCGGCCATTCGTATTTCTTCTTTTGAGATTTCTCCATTAAGTTCCTTAGCCTAATTTTTCACTCAATTTTCATTTATTTACTTTTGTTTAGTCTTTTTTAATTGTTGCTGTTGTTTTTAGCTCTTTGAATGTTTCAGATATTAATCAGCTGTCAGATGTATCCATGGCAAAGAGTTTTCTCCCATTCTGTAGACTGTCTCCTCTATGAACTGGGTTTTTTGTAGGGGGGTTGATTTTGTTCCCATATGGAAGGTTTCTAATTTCACGAGGTTGCATTTGTCAGGAGTTAACCTTACTTTCGGAGTGACTAGAGTCAGGGGAAGAAGATCTTTAGCTGTGCCTATGGTTTTATCCCCTAAGTTTCAGGTCTTACACTAATGTTTTCATCCACAGAGTTGACCTTTGCGCTGGCTCACAGAAAGGAGCCAGCTGAATTCCTCTCCTATGATAGTCAGTTTCCCTAGCACCATTGGTAGGGAGGTTATCTTTTCTTCAGTGTGTGTTTGGTTGGCTGGTTGGTTGGTTGGTTGGTTGGTTACTTGGTTGGTTTGGTTTGGTTTGCAACCTATACAGTCAGTTAACTGTAGCTGCATGGCTTGCATCAGCTTTCAGTTCTCTGCCATTGATCTGACTGAGTCTGTTTTCCTGCCAATACCTTGCTGTTTTTATCACTATTGCTCTGTAATATAACTTGAAATCCAGTACAGTGATAACCACTACACTATTCTTTTTGTTCAGGGTTGCTATGGTTAGCTGGGGTCCTTTATGCTTCCCTATAAGTTTTAATTGAGATTTTTTTTCCTGTAAAGAATGATGTTGGTATTTTAATTTAATTTTTAATTGAATCTATAGATCACTTTTGGTAGGTCAGCCATTTTAACAAGATAAAGTCTTCTGTTCCGTGAGCATGGGAGAGCCGCTCTATTAGATCACTTTTGGTAGGTCAGCCATTTTAACAAGATAAAGTCTTCTGACCCATGAGCATAGGAGAGACTTTCTGTCTTCTAGTATCTTCATAAATTTCCTCCTTCTGCGCTTCAGCAGTTTCACTGTACATGTCTTTCTCTTCTCTGGTTAGATTTGTTCTATATTTTTGAGATTATTTCCCTGGTTTCTTTCAAGTATTATTTATTTTCATCATTCATATATAGGAAGGCTACTGACTTGGGGGTGTGTAATTTTGTATCCTGGTACTTTTCTGAAAGTGTTTATTGTCTCTTGAAATTTTCTGGTTGTCTTTATCATTTCTAATATATTAAATCATAGAATTTGTAGATACAGACATCTGACTTTTCCTTTTCTCTTTGTGTCCCTTTTATTTCCTTCTCTTCTCCTGTTGCCCTGGGTAAATTTCAAGCACTGTACTGACCAGGAGACAGAGGACACCTTTGTCTTGTTCCTGATTTTGGTGGAAGTGCCTTTTCTCCAGTTAGCATCATCATGGCTTTCCTTCATGGTACACACCCATTGTTAGGGCTCCTTCATCCCTAGCCTCCCAGGGGCTTTACAGTGAAAAGGTGTTGGGTTTTGACAAAAGCTTTGTCATATCCATTGTATGATGTACTACTCTTTTTGATTTGCATATGATCTCTGCTTCTCTAGAATGAAGCCAACTTCTTTATTGTAAGTAACACTTTGGTATGTCCTTGAATTCAGGTCACAACTGTGTTATTGAGTTTTTTAGTATCTAAGTTCATCAGGGAGATCGGTCTATGATTTTTCTGTTTTGTTGTATCTTTCTTTGGCTTGAGTGTCAGGACATTGCTAGGTTTGTGTATGGGTGTGCATGTGCACACATGTGGAGGTCAAGAGGACAACTGTAGGAGTGGATTCTTTCTTTATACCTGTGATGGTTTGTATAAGGTTGGTCCAGGGAGTGGCACTATTAGAAGGTGTGGCCCTGTTGAAGTAGGTGTGTCACTGTGGGTGTGGGCTTTAAGACCCTCATCCTAGGTGCCTGGAAGTCAGTATTCTGCTAGCAGCCTTCAGATGAAGATGCAGAACTCTCAGCTCTGCCTGCAGCATGCCTGCCTGGATGCTGCCATGCTCCCACCTTGATGATAATGGACTGAACCTCTGAACCTGTAAGCCAGCCCCAATTAAATGTTGTCCTTATAAGAGTTGATGGTCATGGTGTCTGTTCACAGCAGTAAAACCCTAACTAAGACACTACCTAATGTGTGTCCTGGGCATCCAACCCAGGTATCAGGCTCAGAAGAAAACACTTTACCCACTGAGCCTTCTCACCAGCCCAGGTTTGGCTTAGTCTTGTTTTTCTAGCCCCTGAGGGACATCACTTATTCATTCATTCATTCATTCATTCATTCATTCATTCATTTGAGGTTATTCTGACTGTTAATGTAGGTACTTATAACCATGAACCTTCCTCTTAGGACTGCTTCCATTATATCCTAGGGGTTATGTATGATCAGCGTGTATTTATTCAATTCTAAGATTTTTTTCCTTCTCGGTATCTTCATTATTCTACAGAGTGATGCTTAATGTCTATGAGTTTAGGAATTTTCTATAGTTTCTGTTTTTCTTATGTCTAACTTTATTCCACTGTGGGCAGACAGAGTACAAGAAGTTATTTCTGCTGTCCTATATTTGCTGAGACTTGCTTTATGGCCTAATACATGATCCATTTTAGAGAAAGGTCTATGGACTATTGAGAAGAGTATGTATTCTGCAATATTTGGGTGAAACATTTCATAGATGTCTGTTAAATCCATTTGATCTGTAATGTCATTTAATTCTATTGTTTCTTTGTGTATTTCTTTTGGTCTTGATGAACTGTTTATTGGTAGGAGTGGGGCACTGAAGTCATTCACCGTTGCTGTGTTGGGACTCATCTATGACTTTATAGCTAGAAGAAAGACTGCCGTAAAAAAAAAAAAATCAACCAGTGATCTAACTCTTGATGTACAAATCCCAATACACAAACCTAAGTAACACGAACAACCAAGACAACCCATCTCTCCAAAAACTACCAGTCCCAGAGAAGCAGCCCCAGTGAGAGTGACTTAGACAAAGTACCAGACAAAGAGTTCAAAATCGTAATCGTAAATACATTCAGAGAAATGAAAGAGGACATGAATATGTTCCTGGATGAACCCAGGAGAACGCAGGCTTCAGTTCTACTGGTTAGTATTGAGATGATAAAGAGTAGAGGAGGGACCAGAAGGGACAAAAGGGGGAGGGGGAACTTGGGTTAGATAAAGGTCCATTAAAAAAAGAGAAAAGTGAAGATATTCGTCTGATATTATAGAAAGTCCCATCTTTTGAGAATCTGATTATGTTTTGGGGGAAGAGGGGAAAGGAGGTGGGCAGAGCCCAGAATGATGCCAGGGAGGCAGCCTATTAAAAATGGAGATGAAATAAAGGTAGGCTTGATGTAAAAGGATAGACACCTGCACAGAAATAGAGGTTTCAAGAACTGACTGAGACAATGATTGCTGATCTCCATCTAGACTCTCCCAGCTTCTAGAGCCCTGTCTCGCCTCCTGGATTTCCTCTGCTGTGGATGCTCCCGTTCTCCCTGCTCAGTCTCCCTGTGAGTCACCAGAGGACGGGCGCTGTCCTGGCCAGTGCTTCACATTGCAGTCTCAGGAGTTTGTCCCACCTCTATAACTTCCCTCAGGGTACCAGTTGTAAATGCCAGCTCAGGCCCTGTGCAGCGCTTCTCAGTGTCCTGTGTGCTACTTAGAGTCATGGCGAATGTTCTCGTGTACACTTTGGTTCCCACCAGATTTTCTGCTATCTGAATGTCCTGCAGATCTGACCCGGAGCTTCTCTTCCTATATCACAATGTCCTTGTTGTCAGGTTTCAGAATGCAATCTTATACCGATGGCTGGGTGTTTCTCAAGTGTGGTTCATTGAGGGCTTGAGGACTGTCAGGCTACCACAGCAGCAAACATCTCTTTAAAGTGGAGCTGCTCTTCTCTGTGGGCTACCAGTACCAAGCACCCAGCACCAAGGGAAGGAGGTTTCCCACAGCTCTCCCAGCTAATGTTTCTGCCGTGTGTGTGTGTGTGTGTGTGTGTGTGTGTGTGTATGTCCTTCTCCCTAGCTGTTAAGTACTCCTGTTCTTCTGGCTGTTTTTCAGCTTACCCAGTTAATTCCCTGGAGGCTGTCAAAGACTGTCCCTCAGTATCACCTGACATCTTGTGTCTCCCTCAGTTTATTTAAGAAATTGAGTTCATACGACAAATCATGACTCAGTTTCCCAACCATTCTCCAGGGGCTGGGTAAAGGATGTGTGGAATTGTCAGCAATTCTAGGTCAACCATTTGCTTTCTGTGTGACCCTGAGCAGGTGATCCCTCAACTGTATTGCTGCTATTCAGATATCGTGATATGTCAGCATCAAGTGAGTGCTTCATTTATTAATATTAAACAACTTTGCACTGGATGCATACCTACTTTGTGTCAGTAGCATCAAGAGGCCCTACTAGGACACAGTGGTGGGCAATTTTAGCAAGAACCTTGCCATCATGAAACGCTATCAATCTAGTAGAGAAAAATATCACCAATTGCGTGATCACACCATAGACAATGATGACAAATGTGTGTGTGTGTTGGGGGTGCAGATATAAAAAGGAACGGAGTGAGGCCTCACAAAGACTGTGACCAGTATTGTGTCCTTCCCAGTGTTATAACTCTGCACTTCTCTTTCAGGTACCTGGAAGGAAACCACTTAACAGCAGTACCGAAAGAGTTGTCCGCCTTCCGACAGCTGACACTTATGTAAGGAGCCTGCCACTAGCCAGGCATTTGTTTCTCCTTCCTGGGGTGGTGTAGGACAGGGCTATAGAGACTAAGAGAGAACAGTGCTGCAGCAGATGTAGCAGTTCTCAACCTGAACGCCTGCAGGGTACAGGGAGAGGCAGCTAGCTGGGGGGAACATGGACCAGGCTGAAGTGAGAGGGTTTGCCCAGTGAGGCCTGTGTGCAGAAATAGCCAAGGCATGTCATCATGGTCTGTGAACCACCTTCCTATTGGCTTGGAGGGAGCCTCTGACCTCTGCAGGCTCCAAGCTGAATTCTGGAATTTCAGTTGCTTGCAAGCTGTGGCCACACTTCGCTCTACCAGGAGCACAAACAAGCATTTCTTCTTCCTTCTTTGGTTTCCTAGAAAATGTCTCAAGTGATGATTTAAACCAAGGGCCTTCAATAATAGCTGCTACAAGCCTCAAGCCTTCCAAGAACCAGATAACCCTTGAAAGGGAAACAGAGAACGTGAGGCAAGGCCCGTGAGCCTCGTCCCTCAACAGCCTCACTCTCTTCCCTTGGTGGGACCCAGAAGGGTAAAACAATTCCCTGGGCAAGTGATGATGAAAGATTCCACGCCTGCTTGAGAGGACAAAGGAGCCAGTCCACAAGAGACAAGAAGGGTTCTTTCACAGTAAAAGTCAGAGGCCCACTAATGAAAAGTCCCAGAAAGCCACCATTTGGTCCCCATTCTTGTTCTCCAGAAACCAACATCTCTATGAACATTTCTCAAACTCAGAGCACATCTGAGGACATCTGAGGCTAGATATCTACTGGTTAGGGGAGTTGTCATGATTATTATGAAACACTCAGCAGTGACCTTGGCCTTTATTAGATGCCAGTAGCACTTCACCCAATAGTGACAGCCAAAAATGTCTGTAGACATTGTCAAATGTCATGGCACAACAAGAACGCCCAGTTGAGAACCACTGTTCAGGTGTGGGGAATTGCCCAGGGAGGAGCTGTTGAGGCTGTCATTCTATACTATGGCCACACCTAGGTACAACATTCGAGTCAAAATATACAGGCGGGGAACCCTGGCTTCACAAGATTTACAAGCTCCTTGGGTGTCTCCAGTGTGCAACTAATAGCACCTTGCTGGAAATTTGTCTCTGAGGAGAAACTGGGGGTGTGGTTGATAGAGATATCCTCTCCTACCGACTTTGTCTCCCCTAAGAGATGAATCAGACGGAATGAATAAGAGACAGAGAGAGGACTGCTGATAGGAATTGATCAGAAGGCTGGATGTGGTGATGCACAGCAGCAGAATTAACTGAAGGAGGTGGAGGCAGGAAGATCACAAGTTCAAGGCCAGCCTGGGCTACACAATGTTTAGCAGTGGTGCTGCTCACTTTTGAGCCCAGCACTCAAGAGGCAGACAGAGCCAAGCAAATCTCTTGAGTTTGAGGCTAGCCTGGTATACAGATTGAGTTCCAGGATAGCAGGGCTAGACAGAGGAACCCTGTCTTGAAAAAAAAAATTTTTGTTTGAGGGAAGAAACATACTAGAATAAGGAGAAATTGTTTTCTTATGTGCATGTTTTGTTAGAATAGAATTACGACTAGGCATGTAATTGAATGATTTAATCACCATATGAGTAAATGGATGAATGAACGGGCTATGACAATGTGAATGGAAAAAATTAAACATTCGAATCAACATATATATCGGTAAATGGATGGGTGGTAGGGGGATAAGTGCACAGATGAGAAGGTGAGTGGATAAATATGAGAATGGGTTGGCATACAGATGGGTAAGTGGAGGCAAGCGGGTATATGCCTATACAGATGGTCAGGTATGTGAGGGAGTTATAGGTGGGTGGGTGAATGGACAGATAAATGAGTGTGTGGATAGATGGATGGATGGGTGCGTGTGTAGTAACACATGGGTTGACTGATAGGTGGCACACTTGTGATGGTTGTGGGCGCCTCTGGTGCTGCTAACCGTATCTGGTGGCTTTTCTGTTTTTCTTTATCTAGTGACCTGAGCAACAACAGCATCAGCATGCTGACCAACCACACCTTCAGCAACATGTCTCACCTCTCCACGCTGTGAGTATGAAGGCGGTTCATGTTTAACCTTCGCGGGCATGGCCATCTAGTCTTGGAACCGTAGTCCTAGGTACCTTGATCCAGTGGTCCTCATGGCATTGGCTGACCCTTGACTGGAAGGCAGTCCTTAGTCATCAGGAGATGCCAAATAGAGAGTTAGGGGCCCCGGCAGATGGAGGAACAGGACGCTAATTACCTCTGAAGAAGGCTGTCTTTGGAATGCCTTCTGGGATACATGCGTGTTCTTTCCCAGTGGAGGGTTTCCTACACAATTATATTTTGCTCAGACCCATTTATTTCCCATTAGCTCTGCACGTTGTAAGCACACACCATTTGACAGTGGAGGGAGGTGGTAGGAAAGCTGATTAGAGAGCCAGCCTGCTGTGGAACATGGAGAGTGGGGGCGGGGCAAGCTAAGGAGCTTCCTTCCTGGAGTAGCAGGAGGTTTCTCTTCTCTCTGTGTTACGGCACCTTTGTTGATATATTAAATCGGAGAAAACTGGAGGAAACGTTTGCTTTGACGGGTCCACTGTGTGAAGACTGTACCCACAAGAACAGGGGCAGCCATCAGCCTCACGTTTTTTCCTTTTCACAGGATCCTGAGCTACAACCGGCTGAGATGCATCCCTGTCCACGCCTTCAATGGGCTACGGTCCCTCCGAGTGCTGTGAGTCACTGGGCCTGGGGTCAGCTTCTATAGTACTGGATCATGGCATGAGGTGCACAAAGCTCCCCCCTTCCCACTGCCCTTGGGGCACAGCCCGTTCGCTGCCACCCAGCCAGCCTTACTGACTCAGTGGGATAAAAGGAATGTGCTCGGGTCAGCCATTCCTGAGGCTCAGCACACTGGCACTCAGGAGCCTTTCGCTAAACACTCACCCCTCAAGTCCGCCCTTCGTTGTACATCAGATAGGTTACCTCCCTGCCCCGTGATTAGGGAACTACACTAAACCGATCCTTCCCCTTCCTCATGAGTAGAGTAGGGCATGGGGCTCTGATGAGCAGGCTGCTCACGGGCGCTCACTCTGACTTCAGAAGGGTGAACAGCCCTGTGTAGGGACCCGAGATCACAAGCTGGAAGCCCACGAGCCATCCAAGCTCGAAAGGTTGGCTTACAACATTCTTGTTCAAAGACCAAAAGTTTTAGGGCCGGATGTGATGGCACACATGTGTAGTTCCAGTCCTTAAGAGGCTGAGGGAGGAAGCATGTGAGTTCAAACCCAGCCTAGACTAGTTACTTAACAAGATCCTGTCTCAAAAAAAAAAAAAAAAAAAAAGGTGAAGTTTTAATAAGTTGCCAGCATTTAAGTATCACCAACAAATCCTGATTTATACATTCTCTTGGGAAATCTAGAGCCCGGGTCATACCTGAGCTCTTCCCGCTAGTTCGCAGAGAGGGTTGTATGCCCTGTAGCATCCACACTCATGCACACAGAGATGAGCTGCACACAAAGGCTAAAGGGGCCACAGAACCCTCCCGATGCCCAAGCATGGCTCTGCCCCATCCTCCCTATGTGTCTTCTCAACCACAAAAAATCCGATGATGATGCTAATTGCCTTCCAGAATCCTAGGAGGGTTAAATGAGATGCTATGTCTAAAGCACATAGGCCAGCTCTGGCTCCTGCCAGTGTGGAGTGAATGCTGGTCTGTTATTCGTGTCTCAATGGGCGCTAGACCAGGAGAACACTATGCTGCTCCAACTCTAGGTCTTGTATACCTTTCTGCCTTGCACTGTTTTATTGATAAAGAAAGATATCGTGGCTTCTTCCTCTGGCTATCACCTTTGAGGGATCTCCTCCTGATAGAGATGTCACCCCGCTCTTAAATCTCACACCCATTTATTTCTAACCTGTCAATGTTACAAGAGTAAACCCCATATTTGAAAGGGTGAGGCCTGGCCATTCCTTCTCCTGATCCTCTCTGCAAGAGTACTGTGAGTTTGAGAGGATGATGCCCATTTTAGAGATGGGGAAACTGAGACCTGGTTGAGGAAGTAACTAGCCAACTCTACTAGTCATGAGGTGGCTGAGTCCAGCCTCCTGCCTCAGTGCCATTAGCAAATAGCACCCAGTAACCTGGTCCAACTCCAGAGGCTCTGGGCTGATGTGATTTATTAAGACCTACAAAACACCCATGTCAGCGACAGCTCCTGCCACATGTCATCCACACTGTTATTAAAAATCAATTCTCTGGGGGCAAAGAAGTGCCTGAGTTGACAGTGTGCAATCTGTTACTGTCACTTACCTGTTACCCACTTTCTCCGGGAACTTTGGGGATGGAAACATCAGTGAAACCATTTCCTTGTTTCCAAATGAATGCAGTGGTGGACAGGTCTCATCCATCCGGCCCAAAGGCAGACCAGCTCTCCCTTACACTGCCTGCTGGCCCCTGTCCATCCCAGCTCCCAAGCTGCTATCCGTTCAGTCTGATGCTTCTAGGGATAGGTTGGATGGCAGGAAACAGAGCTGCCAGGTTTAATTGAATCTCTGTGCGTTCAAGACGTGGAGTCACTCTGATGGGGATCATTCAGAGAATCTGAAAGAGAGAAATAGGTTTTCCCTATCTATCTGTCTGTTTCCCTGAGGGTGTTTACAGCCTGCCAGGGACTCCCCCTATGTGTCCTGCCCCAGCTGCACCGCCATGATGTGGTCACAGGAATACATGCCTGCATTCAGCACGAGGGAGCTTGCTTCTTGAGTTAAGAGTCAGCAGGCTCTCACGTGGTCATTGTAGAATCAGTGAGTCTTGGGGATAAAAACCAATCTTAGAGCCTCTCTCTCACTCCAACCAAGCACCTCAGTGGGGAGCAACCATTTTCCCGCATAAGGACCAATTCAGGAAAAATAACAACGTTTATGGGCTACATTTTTATGATATTTGTATCCTTTCTTCTCATAATTGCACATGTAGGAATTTATGCTGCAGAAAAACCCAAGATGAGGGAAAGGTTCTATAAATCTGGGTCTTTGTTGCATTGTTATTTTTAACCTAAATTTTAAATATTACCTACCGGGACACCAATGGGGAGATGTATAAAGAGATTATGACACAGCAAGTCAATGAAGTGCAGTTATTAAAAGAGATAAAGATGAAAACTAGACGCAGCGTGGGAAAGGGCTGACTATTTAGCGATTGTGTGGGAAAGGAAACTTAATTATATCTTGTAAACATTGACACCTATGAACGGAGACTAAAGGGAACAAGGTTTCCAATACTATCAGCTCCGTGACAAGTAAGGCAAAGTTAAGCGGGGATAGAGACGGCTACATAGGGCGATGGGCCAAAGGGGGGGCTTTGTTTTTGGTTTTTTTAATATTGGGTTGATCCGTGTGTATAACTGTGGGTACATATGTGCTGCAGCATGTGTGTGGAGGTCAGAGGTATTGGTTCCCAAGATGAGGTAGATTCTCCTCTTGCTCATGGCTCTGTTCACCAGGCTAACAGGCCCTCTAGCTTCCAGGGATCTTCTCGTCTCTGCTATAGGAGAAGAGAGGTGACAGATATGGGCTACTGCTGGCTCTAAGTGGGCTCTGGGTATCTGGACTCGGGTACCCACACTTGTACACAAGTGTCTTGCCCAATGAGCCACCTCCATGGCCCCAGGTAAGCTTGTTTTCAATCAGGAATTGCATTAGCTGTGATGACATTTAAGCGTTTGTATATTCCCAAGTTTCTGAAGGATTTCATTATGTTGGTGAAATCTTCAAAAATAATGAGTGTCCCATAAGTGATGCTGTTTGGCACAAAGAAGAGGACCAGCAGGAAGGTTTAGCCATAGAGAAAACCAAGCAAGGCTATGGAAAGACAATAAGAGACCTGGAGGTGGGGTGGGGTGTGGACACACACTCTCTCTCTCTCTCTCTCTCTCTCTCTCTCTGTGTGTGTGTGTGTGTGTGTGTGTGTGTGTGTGTGTGTGTGTTATACATGTATCTCTGTCTGCCTCTGTGTATGTGGGGGATACATGTGTATCTCTGCCTCTGTGTGTCTCTGTCTCTCTATCTCTGTCTGCCTCTCTGTCTGTGTGCTTACCTATGTCTGTCTATGTGTCTGACCGTGTGTGTATCTGACCCCCCACCATGTGTGTGTGCCTATATCCTTTTCTGCCTTTATCTGTCTTTCTGTCTATCTGTGTGTATATGTATTATGCATGTATGTATGTATATCTGTGTGTGTGCCTGTGTCTTTTTCTGTCCCTGTCCCTGTCTCTCTCTCTCTCTCTCTCTCTCTCTCTCTCTCTCTCTCTCTCTCTCTCTCTCTCTCTCTGTTATTCTGTCTTTCTCTGTGTGTGTCTGTCTGTCTATCTGTATATATGTATGTGTGTCTGTCTGTCTCTGTTTCTCTGCCTCTGCTTCTAATCTCTCTCCCTGCCTGTCTCTGTCTCTCTCTTTCTGTGTGTGTGTGTGTGTGTGTGTATGTGTGTGTGTGTATTGGTAGTGCAACTGAGTACATATGGGGGGGGGGTCAGGAGCCCAAGTACAAAACATTGTGTGAGGGAAAAATGTATTTTTTTCTATGTTGATTGGGATGTAAAATAGCTAGCAAGAACATTCTTGTGGGCATTCTTGTCCTTCTTTGGGGATCTGTGCACTCTTAGGGATCTTTGCCCCACACAGAGTCACATGCCTTGTGTGTGGTCCTAAATGTCACTCCCCAACCCCACACAGGGGCACCTGGAATCAGTTAAGACCGGGGGTGCGGGGCTGCCCCAGTGTGCACTGAGGGAGAGACTGAGGTGTTGTCCATCACCCTCCAGGTCCTTACTCATCCTTGAAGTCAAACTGCACTGTTTCTACTCACAAGGGGCTAAGGACAGCCTGAAGCCCTCCTACGATGTCCCCATGAAGGGCTCCAGATGCTCTTGGTTGGTGACCTTCCCAAGAGGGACCTCACTGCCTCACCCGAGAGTCAGCCCACCTCTGACAGCCTTGGCTATTAGCAAATGCCAGTGGTGGGCTGAGAGGCAGTACTGGTGGCCTCCAGACCTTTCCCTCCTTGAAAACTAAGCCACATGTAAAGAGAGATTCAGCAGGAACCTCCCAACCAAGAGAGAGTCTTAGAGATGTTTCTCTCTGAACCCTGTCACCTCGGGGATAGAAACAGGAAAGTGTAGCTACCTGTTCACTTTCTAAGCCTCCCTTCAGTGAACGAGCTGCAGCAACACCCTGGGGGGTGGGCGCAGGCAGTAAGCTAGACACAATTGCTGACCTCTAAAGATGGGAAGCTGTCAAGCTAAGAACTATTTGCAACCCAGGGTGGTGCCTGAGAGAAGAGCCCAGGCCACAGGGAAGATTTCTCTCACCCTGCCTTTCTTGAGGCTCTCGGAAAGGACAGCTCTGTCTGGAATGTCACCGCTGGTGTTTGTTAAGTCTTTACTATGCACTGCCCAAGGGATCCCGGCATTTGTGTCATTATCATAGTTTTCCCACTATGAGGAACATGCCTCTGTTTATCCCCATTGCACTTACCAGTAAACTGAGGCTACATGAGAGTAAGTGACTTCACCTAAGATAATACAGTGGGGATTTGGACCCAGGACTTTTTGTTCTCCAAGCCAGTCCTTCACTTCTGTTTCCAAGGCTGAGATGAAGAAGCCAGTGAAGCTCACCTAAGGAGAGAAGGGACTGAAGAACATTCCAGAGAGTGACAATGTAGATACTGAAGAGTTGACTCAGTGGATGAGAATGTTTGCTGCTCTTGCAGAGGACACACATTAAGTAGCTCACGACAGCCCGTAACTGCAGCTCCAGGGGTGCCAACCCCCTTCTGGACTAAAAACTTATTTTGTAAGGACAAGTGTGTTTGGAGGCTCACAGGAACTAACAAGTGTGGCTTCAGGGCAGACTTCATGTTAGAAGCAAGAGTATGGCTAAATCACCACAAGGATGCACAGAACCGAAGCCGGACCCCTGTCCCTGGGCTCCTTACCTGCAGTCTTCCCACCTCCCTCCCAGCCTCAGTTTTACCTGTCTTTATTCTCAGGCATTTTGTTCTCTAGTTGAAGAGTGGGGCAGTGTTGCCTGACAGTAGAAGTGTTTTCACCGTTACCCAGAGGAGCTTCAATCAGAACTAAAGGAATTGTGGGGGCAGAGGGAGAGCTGGACAGAGTGGGAGGAGTCCAAAGAAAGAAAAAAAAAGCTGATAGAAATATATTCCAGGAAAATAATTTTTAAGTTAAAAAAAAAAAAGGTAAGGTAGGACAAAGGACTTGGGACCCTCTGCCATTGTTCACTTTTCTCTTGCCTCCAGCCCAGAAATGGAGCCATGTGGCTTACTACTGCCTTAAAATGGGTGGAAAATATAATTACAGGCTTCTACTTTGTACGAGCAATGCGTTGAGAGGACTGGCCTCAAAATAATTCTGAGAACAAAGTGGGGAAGGGGTGTGGCCACGCACCAGGTCCTCCAGCATCTGGAGCCTTACAAGCTCTGTATTCTCCTGGCCCTCACAGCTGGCTTATCAAATAGGCGGTGTCATAATGCTCGCTTCTGACCAATGGAGAGGAGGTCAGCTCAATGTACCTTAGACATCATATGTATGTATGTGTGTGTGTGTGTGTGTGTGTGTGTGTGTGTGTGTATATATATATATATATATATATATATATATATATATATATATCCATATCCATCAAATGAGAAGCCCAGGGTAGGCAGAGCTCTGAGGCTAAGAGCAGACACACTGTGCCATCAGAAGTGCAGCCGCCCTCCATCACGGGTGGGTTTCCCTCACAGGTGTGGTACACTGAACCACTTCTCATTCCGACCTGCAGAGCATTGTGACAGGCTGCGAGATTCAAGTGGCTTAGCAGCCAGCAAAATGAAGCCTCCCCTCACTTCTGACTTCCAGAGGGACCCCCAGGGGCCTCTGTCTCTCTCCAGCACTAAAGGGAGGCTCCTCCTGTCCCTCTGAAGGCGTGAGTGTGCCCATGCTGGCATGAGCGGGTAATGGAGAGAAGGTGTTGAGAGATGTGGAGGTGTGCGTGTGTACAGGAGCTACAGGAACCGCAAAGGCACAAGAGGCCGATGCTTACACCTCGTCAATGGAGAGGGCAGCTGAGTAGGCTGTAGGGTACTATTGTTATAGTACAATCCCAGAGGGGTAACGAATGCTGTTTAGGATACACAGATGGAGAACCACTGCCCTAGAATGAGGGAGGAGAGGTCCCTTGCACTTTTCTAAGGTCATTGGAAGAGCAAGCCAGGTTCACTTCCAGGGAGGTGTACAGGAGAAGAGAGACACACGAGAAGCCATCCGCTTCTCTGTCATCATTGAGGATGGTGATGTGCAAGCTTGAGTCCTTCCTTGGGGCCCAATCAAGGACCAAGAGCCTGCAGCATAGGCGGACTGCATCTCAGTTGTCCTTGTGAATCATAGCCCATTGGTCTGCAGGTCTGAAGACCTCAGCAGCTCAGCTCATGACAAGTGAGAGCAAGACTCGAAGATATCACAGCCGAAGCTGTTGTTGGGTCCCTCGGTGTTTTTCTATTAGAGCTTCATGACCCTGAGAGGTGGGCAACCTCTTCAGAACTGACCTACCATGGATCTGCCAAACAGCAGGCAATAGTGAAGGCACCCGAGTTGATAGCAGGCTGGGGCAAGTGTGAAGCAGGGAGAATGATTCTGCTAAGCACACTGGGAAGAGATGAGCACTGACTGGAGGACCACTCCTTCTAGCTGTCCTGGGTGCTGCCAAGTAAAGGACAGCTTGCATCTGGCACATCACACCAAGAATGGGCTGACATGAGGATGACAGTGGAGGACAGCGTAAGGTAGAAGGAGAATTCTAGATCATTGGTTCTCAACCTTCTGTGACCCTTTAATACAATTCCTCATGCTGAGGTGACCCCAAACATAAAATGATTACATTGCTACTTCATAACTGTGATTTTGCTACTGTGTGTATCGTAATGTAAATATTTTTAGAGATAGAGGGTTGCCAAAGGGGTTGTAACTCACAGATTGAGTAGTTCTGCATGTACAAGGCCCTGGATATTTTTACAAGAGAAGGGAAATTGAGCCCTTACTGGAAGCAATAGGAGAAACCCCTAGCCCTTTCCCTGTGAACTGTAACCTTCGGGATCTCAGGTCTCACTCCAGACCCAGACAATGTAGGTCGGACTCAGAAATGTGAAGTTTTACTCCCTTATTAGCATATACTAATCACACATAGCAGTGAGTTTCATTGTGACATCTCCAAGCATGTACATAACACATTGTTAATCATATTCACACCTCGCTTTCTTCTTGTCTGCTTAGCACTCTCACTGGTCACCTTCCTCCTCCCCACCAGCTTCTAATTTCATGGTACTTTAGTTGTTCATGTAATACAATGAGTTATTACTGACACGAATAGTTAACCAGTAATTCCTAGGAGTTATTGAAAGGAGCATAGATGTGGAGGGTTTTTTTATACTTTTAATTTTTTTATTTTATGCATATTGATGTTTTACCTGCCTAGATGTCTGGGCACCTCACGTGTGAGTTATAGACAGTTGTGAGCCACCATGCGGTACTGAGAATAGAAACTGGTTTCTCTGGAAAAGCAGTCAGAGCTCCTAAATACTAATCAGTCTCTCCAGCCCCTAAATTCCCCTGAGGAATTTTTGGTTTTGGGATTTTTGGGGGTTTTTAGGGAAAAAAAAAACAGGAGCATGAGTACCTTACCAGTGGCTATACCACTGTAGAAAAGGTTTCTCCTCTCCCAGAAACGTATAGATCATCATAGAGGGATGGAGTCTGAAGAGCCCTTCCTTCCTGTTAATGGCGTATAACTCCTCAGGAAGAGATGTGAGCCCCCTGTCCCATCCATCCCATCTAGACAGAAAGTTGATGGGTCCAGTCAGTCTTGTGGAGATCTTATACAAGAAATCATGGGTACTTTGAATCCAAGAATGCATCAGTGGGATCCTGTCCAGAAGTTAACCACCTCCCCCTTTCTCCAGTTCTTGTGAATTTTTCATCCTCTCACAGATTTCCCCAAGCCACAGAAGGGGTCGTGTGGATGTCCATTTGTGTCTGAGCACTCAGTGGCCACTTACTCTCAGCACTTTGGTAGTTATGTCTTGACAGTTACCACTGGGCAGTACAAAAAAAAGCTTCTCTGACCAGTTGTAACAGCGACACTAAGCTAAACTAAAAGTGTGGTTATCTAGAAGGCACTTTAATGGACATGTCATGTCCACATACAAACAAACAAACAAACAAACAATACCACAGTAGCAGGCTCCCCCATGACCTCTCCTGCCGTGGGATTTTGGCCAGGTTTATATCACCAGACTTGAATTCCAATGTGGATCAAACCTCAATTCTAAGCAGAGCCTGGTCAGTTACACCGTGCCCCCCGACACCCACCCCACACACGCACACACATACAACTAATTTGTTACGGTTTTGACAGTGGGCACATGATGCCTGGCCAGTCAGTCCTCTAGAACATACAGTCAACAGTTATCTCCCTGATAGCAGTCAGAATAGCATGGTCTGACACTATGAGAGCTAGCCACTGGGGAGAGGGCTTCTAGCTCAGTTCCAGCTTGCCTTCTCTAAGCCCTGAGCCCAGAGCATGTGGCCTCTCCAGCAATAAAGGCTTCTCATCTAATTCTGATCTACCTGTGTTGTTTAGGATCCTTGGGCCCCCAAACACTGGGACTTTCACTTTAGTAACCTGTGGCTTCTGGGAGCCACATAGTACCTCCATTCAGACTCTTTTATTTCTTTAAAGTAAGTAAATATGAGGTGTTCTTATGACTTTTTCATACATTATTACTTTTGGCTGATCCTCCCACCATCTTCTTCTCTCTCCCGTATCTGTCCCCCTAACCCCAATTTTTCCTGTCATTCACCAGTTAGCACTTAGAAAATACTCAATTCTTTCTGCATAGTCTAAAACATGTACGTCACAATCTGACTATTGGTCATTGTCATCTGACAATTCAGAAACTGAGGCTCAAGAGAGAATAAGCTACTTTGCCCAAGGCCATTTAGCTGGTAAGTGGCAGAGACAGTGTCTGAAAGCAAGTGACCTGGCTCCAAAACAGATGGATTAGCCACTGTCAGAATACAGAACAGATAGTATTAGCCACAGTTGATCAAGCACAGAACATCATCTCTGGAACTGATGGTCCCATTAGATAAATGCGGCACTCAGATTTTTCAGGAGTGGAAACTGAGGCCCAGAAAAGCAGTTTATCCCTGAATCTCCTCCAGGTTCACAGAATTTGAAAGTCCATCCTCTTCCCTGACAAGCCCTCAGCCCCTCCACCCTGCTGCTGCTCTAGACAGAATGATGTCCTTACCCCTCAGCAATGGCAGCAGCTGCTGATATCATGAGCTCTGGGGCCCTGGGGCCCTGGGAACCAGAAGGGTGGCTGGGCTGGGTGAGTATGGTGGCTCACTGGGGTCACTTACTAACCTGTGCCTTCTGCCTCAGAACCCTCCATGGCAATGACATTTCCAGTGTTCCTGAAGGCTCCTTCAATGATCTGACGTCCCTGTCCCACCTGTAAGTAGCCTCTTTCTTAAGGTTCATTAGCTCAAAACAGAACATGGTAATGGTGACAGTCACCACTTTGTTAGGCATTTGGGCCGCCATATGCACAGGGGACTGGCTCCAGGATCCCCAGTAACCCACAAATGTTCAAGTCACTTATGCACAGTGAGGTGGCGTATCTGTAGAATATACCACACATTCTCTTGTGGGCTTGAAGTAGTCTCTGGATTACTTAAGATACCTAGTACAATTGTAAACGCTTCGTAAATAATGGTTATGCTATTATTGAGTGTGGTATAAGGACCCAAAAGAAGTCCAGGTTTGTATCTATTCATTACACATGAAACTTTTAAAAATTACTTTTGACCCATAGTTGGTCAGACCTGCAAGTAGGAAACCTGAGATTCAGAAAATGAACGGGGGCTTATTTTAAGATACTGCGTTCAAACTGTACACCATGTCTTGTTTCAAACACCTGTGAGGGCATCTATCCTGTCAAACAGTGTAAATGTTTGAACTATTACTATACCCTAAACACTTTTGATGAATTATCTGTTATAGTTTTTACAGCATTAAGGTGCTTTATTCCATTATATAGATGATGAAATTCAGACTTAGGAAAGTTAAAGAATTTTTCCCAAGGGCTACACAGCCAACAGGTAGCCAGCTCCATGTTAGCCTTGACTGCCAGTGGGCATGTTCTCAACCAATCTGTATTCATCTTTTGTTCTACTCAAGGAAATTGAGACCATAAGTAATAGGTAACTACCTGAAAGCTACTCATCAAGCCAGTGAGACTTCAGAGTAGAGCTCAGTCCCCTGACTCTCAGGTCAACCCTCTTTCCCAAGCTAGTACTCTCAGATAGTCTCCAGGTACCTATCTCTGTTGGTAAGCTTGTTTGTAAGACTGTATTCCTCCTCTGTATTTATTTTAGTTATTTTAATGTTGGGTACATAGGCTACAATACTGACATGTATGCATTCTATAAATCAAAAGTAGAAATAGTAGAGAATAGGATTTTTTTTAAATGAATTGTATTTTCTTCTCAATCACTTTGGAGAAGTTTGGGGTGAGATGTGGCTCACCCCACCCCATATCTTCAATCTCACTGATGTGAAGCTGTGTCCTGAATCTGGGTCTTGGAACCTTTGAAGAACAAATCTTCTAACAGACCCTTTGCTTGAGAGCCACACAAGAAGGTGGCCAGAGGTCTAGAATTTGTCCCAGGAGAGCCATGACTGGAGGAGAGTTTGGGACAGAATTTTCCAGAGTACTGAGAACAAAGCCTCAGAAGTGCGAGTCACTTCGGTGGGGATGGAACATCTACTGAATTGGAAATAGACTCTGGAAAGTTTGATTTTTTTTTCTCAGTAGAGATGTGTCTTCTAGCCATATTCCTCTAATTTAGTTTTAATACCTTGAGTTTTCAGAGAGCCACAGTTGGGAGCCTGTGGGCTAGGCCAGGCAGGGCCTAACTTCCTCTTCTGCCTTTCAGAGCCCTGGGAACCAACCCTCTCCACTGTGACTGCAGCCTGCGTTGGTTATCAGAATGGGTAAAGGCTGGATACAAGGAGCCTGGCATCGCCAGATGCAGTAGCCCCGAGTCCATGGCCGACAGACTCCTGCTCACCACCCCCACCCACCGGTTCCAGTGCAAAGGTAGGTGTTGCCTGCCCACCACATCTCTGCCTTCACAGGATCTGCTCTGTTTCCAACATCTAAGTACATGTGGCTTGTAAAAACACAGCTTGTCTCATGCATGTAACATAGGTATACTGTATATTTTATCGCTACTTATAATGTATTGTAAATGCTGTATACAAAGTTGTTACATTGTGTTGTTTAGGGAATAATAACCAGTGCATGATTAGTATGGCTACAGTTTTGTTTCAGATATTTATGATCTGTAGTTGACTGAATCTTCGGATGTGGGATTTGCTTGCTAGAGATCCATGAATACAGAGGCTGACTACGCGCTGGCTCCTTCTGCATATATTGTCTATAGCTGAGAACATCTCTAACCTGCGTTCCTCACCCAGTGATATTAGCATTCCCATTGTACTGCCTTGAGATTCTTATTACATGATTTTTGAATAATTTTTACATTTATCTCTCTCTTTCTCGTGTGTGTGTGTGTGTGTGTGTGTGTGTACGTACGTGCAGACACACACCCAGTACAGTGTATATATGGAGGTCAGGAGACCACTTGTGGGAACTGGTTCTGTCCTTCCACCACGCGGACTCCGGGGACTGAACTCGGCTCCTCAGACTTAGTGGCAAGCGCCTTCACCCACTGAGCCATGTCCCCTGAGTTCTTGTCCCTGCACGTGTGATTTTTCATTGACTCATTATAATGATCCACTCCTGAATTTTTACATGGCAGGGTCTATGTTAGACATGTTTTTATTCATCATTTTATTTAACATGTTAACATATTTAATTTTTTTCTGAGTCAGATTAAGTCTCCAACATTTTTATGGGTAGCTATTTATAATTCCCCCATGTTAAATATTTAGAGCAACTAAACCTTACGAGGTTGAATGAACTCTCCCCACGTGATGTTGAGGGACAAACCCAGAGCTTTGCTCATCTTGACAAGAGTCTCCCACTGAGCTACATCTGTATCCCAAACTAATTCATAAGAACACAGCAATAGGACCCCGGCTCTTCCTAACTCTAGAACATGGGCTTCTGACCCTCAGAGCGCTACTGTCTCCCACCACAGCCTACTCAACTAGTTCTTGGTTGAAGAGCTGGAGAGATGGCTCAGTGGTTAAGAACACTGGCTGCTCTTCCAGAGGTCCTGAGTTCAATTCCCAGCAACCACATGGTGGCTCACAACCATCTGTAATGGGATCCAATGTCCTCTTCTGGTGTGTCTGAAGACAGCGACAGTGTGCTTATATATAAAATAATGAATCTTTAAAGGAGGAGGAGGAGGAGGGGAAGGAAGAGGAGGAGGAGGAGGAAGAAGAAGAAGAAGAAAGAAAAAAGAGAGAAAGAAAGAAAGAAAGAGAGAGAAAGGAAGGAAGGAAGGAAGGAAGGAAGGAAGGAAGGAAGGAAGGAAGGAAGGAAGGAAGGAAGGAAGAGAAAAGAAAATCTTCACTGTGTTTCCATTTTCCCTCTTATGGTGAATGCATGAATGTTTCTCTGTCTAACACTGTATCCTCAAGTAAGAGTCAGAGACTCCAAATGATGGGCTGGAAATATGTTGTCTTCAAACAGTTTGTAGAATCGATTTCCAAAATGGATGATAATGGACTTGGGCTCTCATTAGTGGCCCCTGAGTGTCTTTTCCTTAGAGAATCAGAATCCTTTGTCTTACTTTATAGTCAGAGTATCTCTTTTATTTTATCTGCCCTTAATTTTCAGGCACCGTGAATTTAATTTCAGAATCTGTCTTGCATCTGGATTGAGCATTCATCTGTTAATGCCCTTTGCTCGTCTCTGAGAATCTCAGTGTTCAGTTTTTATTTTCCCTTTAAAACTGCACAGTGTCCCATGTGACTGCTGAAAGCTGAAAACATCCCATTGATTTAAAGCTAATTTTAACTTTCCACTTCCTGCTTCTGAGACATCTGATCTGATACTAGAGGGACTCAAATAGCCCTGGGATAGTGGTGCTCAATCTTGACAGGAATCACCTGCAGAGCTTTAAAAATCACTACTCAAGGGCAGGGGTTGGAACTGGGGAGAACTACCTAGCGTGTAAAGTCAGGTTGGATCCCCAGTGCTTGAAAAATAATATTGGTTCTGGGTCCAACAATCTCTGTTTGAGTTACAATCTAGGAATGGGATTTAGGCTGGTTCTGACTTGTCCTTGTGTGTCAAGGGAAACCGCTGTGCCCCAGGAACCTCTCAGTCAGAGGCAAGCATGAGCAGGTGGTTCCTCTCATTCTGATGTGAGCCCAAGTTGGACCTATTGGTTTCAGAGCTCTCTGAGCCCATTCTGTTCATCTACCTACAAAGGGTACAAATGGTCATTCACCAAAGTGACTCTCAACCCATCTCCAGGCTGAGGACTGTCAGCTCCAGACTAGTTGAAGTTCTGATATTAAATACACACGCACACGCACACACACACACACACATCCATGACTCATGTTCAAAGCTGTCTACAGCAGTAGACAGTCCCTTTATGCAAAGCTCTATGTGGAGGCCATGACCTCCTTCCAGCCCTTGCAAAACAAAAACCAAAAAAAGACAAAACAGGACAGTTAAAACTTCCATGGATGACAAAGGCAAAGTATTCCTGTCAGCATCTTTCTGTGTGACATCGTCACCCCTAAGGTCTTTGTGTCTTGTGCCTTGGCATCCCTCCTTGGCCATTCTATGGGAAAGGGTTTGGCAGGGGCAAAGAAGGAGAAGGTCAAAACAGAGTCTGTGCTGAGAACTTCCTGGAATAGAAGATACGTAGGAGGGTTCTAATTATGGTGCATTGTTTGCAGATTAGCACCCAAATCGGATCAGGCTAATTACAGTAATGGATTCGACTACAGAAGTGCTTCTGTATGATGCCCCGCTGTGATTCTTACTCACTGGACAGTCGTTGAATTAATGGGCCTCTCTCCAGATGGATGTACAGCCTCAAGAGAGCCAGCAGCCCTCTGGGCCTGGAGATGGGAGGGAGCCAGAGCGGAGGGGAAGAGAGGAGAGTTAGCCTATGCAGAGAGCTGCCACCCACTCTCTGGTTTTGTTACTCAGGGCCAGTGGACATCAACATCGTGGCCAAGTGCAATGCCTGCCTCTCTAGCCCGTGCAAAAACAACGGCACTTGCAGTCAGGATCCTGTGGAGCACTACCGCTGTACCTGCCCCCACAGCTTCAAGGTAAGGCAGGAGGCTCTGCCCACCACTCAGACCCAGGCTCTTCCTTTGTCCTGGCTGCAGGGAGGGACCCCGTGCAGCTGATGTTATGTAGAGTAGCCTGGACAACACTGCAATTCACTGTGACCTATCCCTGCCAAGTGACATGTGTCAACAACATCCCTGGTCTCCTCCACATTGCCTGTCAGACAGGACCCGTGGAATCTAGACAGGGGTGCTCTGAGATGAGAGGAAAATGCTATCTGAGTGGGGGTTTGTTTATTTGTTTTGTTTTGCTTTGTTTGTGAGTCGTGGGGAGATTACAACCCAGGCAATTAAAAAAAAAATGCCCTCTTAGAAAAGGCATCCCTTGAACCCCAGTATCCTGACTACTATTTCAGAGAATAACAGGATTAGAGACTCAAAGACTCAATGGTCTGGGGCTCCCATGGCCACCCACATAGTGGGCAAACCCAACAGAAAGATGGAAACTACCAGTTCTCCCATCTGTTCTACCAGAAATTCACTTCCAAGACAATCTTTTCCCCCAGCACAACCCAAAAAAGCTACACTGTCCCCCTGCTAATATGTAGACTATGTGCCATGCTCTATGTTTGTTGCCCGGCTCACTCTCCTAGCAAACCTATGAAGAAGGCTTGTTTTATAAGCAGAGAAACCCAGCTTCCATAGATTTGGGATTAAAGCTCAAGGCTATACAGTCCCAAGGCCAACATCCTTTACCCTGAAGAGGTTCCTTAATAGCCGAACCTCTTTCAGTGCCTCACTGGGATCAACAATGCTCTTCCCAGTGACTCAATGCTCTTCTGTGGAATCTGAATGCACTGGACAAGCCAAGAGTCCCAGGTATCCCGAAGCCCATCCTGTGCACCATCTGTACAGGCTGAATGATGGGAACACAACATCCATCCTCAAGGGACTGGGCCTGGACAGTAACAGGCTTGAAAGGCAGTTTCTAGGGAACAGCTACCTGGTGGCTTTCTCAGCTGCTGTCTGGCTGCTAGCAGACAGTGTCAGAGCGCCACCTATGGGCCTGGAACAAGAAAGCCCGAGGATCTCTTTTAAAACCATCTGTCCCTGGAGCCTTAAAGTCCAAGCACAGAGATTGAGAGAGACATAACTCAGGCACAGATCCACTGAGCCTTGTGCATATGTGTTCAGTAGAGGGGGAGGAATCTCAGTCTCTGGAATTACAGAGAAGTGTGTGTGGATTGCAGCGTTGCCACGTTCGAGGTGTTATGTTGATGACCAGTGACTGCACCTCAGCCTTCTCATCCAGACACCAGGACACATCCCACAGGTTGGGAGAAACAGATGTGTAGTCAGTCATGTGTGAAGTATTCCTAGGAGAGGACCCACTGTATGGGAAGTCCTTGAGAAGCTGACACATCCCCACCTTTACCTTCCCTCTTGCCAGCTGCTCTGCCCCCCATGCTGGAGTGTGGGATTAGCCTATGGTTCACCACTACTTGCATTTGGGACTCGCTTCACAAGTGTTAAAGATTTTCATACATGTTGCTACAGAGTTTTCCAAGGGTGCATAACCATTGCTGTTGGTCTTCTGCAAGGCCTGAATGAAGTAATTGGAGTGCATTCTCTCACACGGAATGCTTAGTCATCCAGAGACATCAGTTCTTCTCCTCATTTGAAAGGTCAACTAAGATTTGTAAATACAAGGGCTTACCCACACTTTACCACCTACAAAGCACAGAAGCTAAAAACAGAACCCAGCCTGGTCTTTCCTAGTGACTGGCTCTCCCTCCATCTTGCCCTTCCCCGAGCTCTCCAGCCAAGATGTAACAAGGCTAAAAACACATCACAAGTGCCCTTCATCTACCTCAGTGCCAGGTTCAATAAACATGCCACACAGGTAATAATCTTGCCACTATTCTGGGATTTAGGAAAATAAAATAGATCTGATCCTTTCCCTACCACTGGGCTTCACGCACACATGCTCGGTGGCTCTGAGTAGTACTTCCCTAGCCTGCGTGTCTCCGGGAATCTTATTAAGACATAGGTTCTGATTTGTGAGAGCTGGGTTCAGTCCTGAGATGGTGTATATTTAACAAGCTCCCAGGGGCTGCACAGGCTACCAGTCCAAGGAACACACTTTGAGTAACAAGGTCCCTAAGTGGTCCCCCACCCCATCTGACTCCGAGACTCCAGTGAGGGAGCTGTTCCTAGGCTCTTTTAAAGGAAGCCAATAGCCCAGATTCTGTCAGAGAAGGGAGATAAGGTGAGACGGAGAACAGAGGGAAGAGGACCAAGGAACATCCCAGTTCCCATAGATCTGAAAAAAAATACAGAATTGAATCGGGCTAGTTAGGCACATCTTGGAAATGGTGATTGCTTTTCAAGGAATGTAAGTGACAGAAATCTTCATCTCAAGTCCCAGTTATTGTTTTCAAGCAGTGGAAATGCCTCCTAGATTTCTGTGCTCAGCCTAAAGGTCTAAAAAAAAAATCCTATATATCACACACCACCCTTGGTGTGGGGATGGGGATTCTGCCTGGGCCAAGTGGTACTTCATAAGACCATCAGAGTAAACAGGCCAGATTCTAGGCAGGGCTGGAGGGGATGGTCTCACTGGATCCTTTTGAGGCTCTCTTATTCTGCCCTTCATAATTATCTCAGTAGTACCGCTACTGCCCATGCATGCATCCCTGACCTATCTAACATACCTAGCCCTGCCTAGTCAGAGTCATCACTGCCCCTTCCCTCCAGAGCTGCATCTCCTAGAGGTACCTTGCAAGTAATGTGATTTACAATGGTAGTTCACTTCCCTCAGGGCAGACAGAGATTGAGCATTCCCTTATATGAAATGCTTGAGACCAGAAGCATCTCAGATCACAGGTGTTTCTGGATCTTATAATACTTGTATACACATACTAAAATATCTTGGGGCTGGGGACCTGAGTGTGGGTCCCAGGATTCATGAATAAGCCAAGTGATGCTAACTTATCATCTCAGGACTGGGCATCAGAAGCAAGCATATGGGTAGAGCCTGTTGACTAGCCAGCCTAGACAAGTGGTCAAGACTCAGGTCCCAGTAAGAGACAGGCCATTGAGTTAGCTCATCGGGCAAAGGAACTTACTTCACAAGCCTACTGACATGAGTTGGATATCCAGAACCCATGTATCTTAGTTAGGGTTTCCATTGCTGTGAAGAGACACTATGACCAAGGCAACTCTCATAAAGGAAAACATTTCATTGGGGCTGGCTTACAGTTTCAGAGGTTTAGTCCATTATCATCATGGCAGGAAGCATGGCAGCATGCAAGCAGACATGGTGCTTGAGGAGCCAAGATTTCTACATCTTGTCCCAAAGGCAGCCAAGAAGAGACTGTCCTCTGCAGGCAGCTAGGAAGAGAGTATCTTCCTCACAGGGTGGAACCTGAGCATAGGAAGCCTCAAAGTCCACTTACACAGTGACACACTTCCTCAACAAGGCCACACCTATTTCTATAAGGCCCCACCACCTAATAGGGCCACTACCATGGGTCAAGCATTTAAACACATGGGGGCCAAATGTATTCAAACCACCACATTGTAAAGGAGGAAGAAAAGGACTAACTCCACAATGTCATCCACTAACCTCCATACTTGTACTGTGGCATACACCATACACACACACACACACACACACACACACACACACACACTCAAAAATATCCAGAAAATAGAACCCAAATCCAATAATGAAATTAGCCTGTTTTATATATACACATAGCCTGTCACTGAAGGTAATTTTACTATACCCTCATTTTGACCATGACCTGAAGTCAAGGGTAGAGTTTTCCACTTCTGGTGATGTGTCAGCACCCAAATGTGTTAGCGTACTTTGAATTCCTGGATTAGGCATACTCTACCTCATTCCCGTTTCATGAAACATAAAAACAAGGTCTGAGAGAACCAGTTGTTTCTTTACGGCATGTAGCAGCCTGCCTGGACTCAGCTCCAGTCCACTGCATTCCAGAGCCAGGTTTTCCGAGGAACAGACCACATGGTCCAGCATAGAGGTTCCTGGTGCCGAATCTCAGCTGTCTGGGCTCATCTGTTGGCCGCCTGTTTCACTAACTGCCGTGAAGTCTCAGGCCTATTTTCTTCTTTTCCAAGTCTGCCTTCCCTATTTGTTAAAGGGGAGCATAATGACGGTTGTACCAATCTCACAGGGTTCTTGGGAACATTATATGTGATCGTGACTATAAAACACTTAGCTTGAAGCCCAGAATGGCAAATGTGCTCAATACCGTGAGTGAGAATTCCTATTACACTTTCCATTCCAGACACTGACTTTCAGAAAGCGGGCCCTGACTCACTGGGGCTTGAGGGGAATGCCAGATAGCTCCTCAAAGCACACATTTCCTCTCACTCTCCCCTCTCAGAAACCTCTGTGTGGGGCATGGACTCACATAAAGAACCAGACAGACAGGCCTTCCAGCTACTGGAGAGGGGCCTGAGGCTCCAGCAGGCAAGAGAGTAGGAGGCTACATCTGGGCCCACAGTGGAGGCTATCCTGGCCCAACGCCTCAGGCTCAGCTGGCAGTAAGCACACAGCCAGGAACCCCCAGTCCTATGCATAGACACTGTCCCAGTCATAGAGACTGGCAGCAACAGAAGACGGGACAGGCTCTTCTCAGGCAGATGGTGAGCAGGTGGTGGTGACAGTGGGAAGGCTCCCATGATCACCCTGGCCTGGCATGCACTCAAGTCACTGAACCCGTGGCTCAAAACTATATGCAGCAGATACCTCCCCAGGCCTGGTGCTACTGGGTCCTACAAAGTACAGCTAGCATGTCCCAAGAGAGTACAAGATCCATGTCACAAGTATAGGGTCTGTGTCCCAAGAGAGAAGCAGGAGCCATGGAGGCAAGAGGATCCCTGGGACATTAGGTTTGTGCTTTGGGGTCACTCACTCAGAGCCTTTGTCCTTGTTCCTTCTGCCTGGCATAATCATCCCCACCTGCCACTCACTGGCTCCTTCTCAGCTCATACCTACCCTGAAGAGGAACCTGGTCCAGTGGAACTCTACCTCACTCCTACCATTGCAGCTCTTAGTCTGGCCTGGCCTTGGACTCTCCTTTGGAATTTGAGAACAAATGGAAACAGCAAGGTTGTACTACAGACCAACCAGCCAAGGAGGAATGGGAGGTGGGGGTGATGTCCCTTTATAGAATACAGGTCTATAGGTTATACCTTCGTTCCCCCTGCTCATGGTATGGACTATATTTAAACCTCAATAAAACAAATAGCAATACCATCTGCTAGCTTTTACAGAACACCTACTGTGTGCCAAGTGTGTTACATAATGCACAGTGCTTCCTTCTGTGAAAGCTCCCACATGATTCTCATAGCAGCTCTGTCAGAGGTTAAAGGTCTAGTGCCCATTATCAGCCAAGGCAAGGGGGAACTGGAATCAAAACCTCACGTGGACCCCCAGCCCATACTTATGCCCACAGTTTAGGACAGAGAAGCCTGTGAACTAGGGAACTGGTCGTGCTGGAGCCTGAACTCTGCCCTCTCATCCTCCCCTTCTCATGAGGAGTGAGTGACCAGGCAGTGACTCCTTTTGTCTTGCTTCCATCTCAGCTTCATCCCAGAGGATGCTGGGAAGTCTCTGAGGTCTCCTGGGTCATAGCAGCCACCAAAAGCCTTGCTTACCAGATGCTTCTCCCTCATCTGTTCCTCAGGGCAAGGACTGCACCGTACCCATCAACACCTGTGTCCAGAACCCCTGTCAGCATGGAGGCACCTGTCACCTGAGTGAGAACCACAAAGATGGGTTCAGGTAATAGCTCAGCCCTGACTTTTCCAAGAGCTTCTGGGTCAGACTCCTTATGGGAATGATATCAGTGTAGAAGTAATGTCCCTGCCCTATACAGGAAGAAACTGAGGCATCAAAAGATGAACTGTCTCCCCAGAGTCACAAAGCATTGGTACAGGGATTTGATCCAAGTGCCAGCCTCCACTCTCTCAGAGCCAGGTCTCCATGGGAAGCTGCAGATGCTGGCTAGTGTCACAGGGTAGGATGCAGGCCAAGAGACCTGCCTACCTGGCGATCCCACCACTCCTTTCTATGTCACAAATAATAACGGGGGCTACTGCTGCCATGCTGTGCATGCCAGGTGGGAGCAGTTCTTACAGCATCTCTCCTAAGCCTTCTCATACCTATATTGGGGGAGGGGAGGTCCTATCTGCATTGAGCGTCGAGGAAACTGAGACCACAGGCTTATGGTCACATACCCTGCCTCTGGTGCTAATCATGCTTTCAGTCCTTTCTTACTAAGCCGTAAGATACCCTGGCCCATCTGTCTCCCAGCATCTTGCAGGTGTATAGTTTCCCCAGATGTGGCCCCAGTAGAAGCAGATCACTAGAAGGGGCCCCCCACAGCACATCGGTTGGGCAGCAGCCCCTTCATAATAAAGCCCTTTCACAGGCTCTGGGCAATGTCAAAGCTCAAATTGCACGTAATTAACTTATCAAAAGCCCTCCAGCCAGGGGCTGCTGTGTGGTCTGGGAAAGAACTCTCCAGAGAACCCAGCTGGCCCATGCATCCCCCTACCGAGCCAGCTCCAACCAACCAGGACTCCTAAAAAGAGGACCGCAGGCACTGTTCCTGTTCCTGCCTGGAGTCAGCCAAACCACCTGCTTCTCCTGTTCATCAGGAACAGCCAGCCAGGAACTGTACTCCCAAGGCTAGGAATGAATTCTGCCCCACTCAAGCCTGAGACAGGAAGCAGAGCTTCCCTGGCGGTGTTTGTATGTCAGGGTCCTGCTTCCCCCTCTGTCTTGGATGATTTCCATGTGAACCGGAACCTTAACTATGAGATATGTAGGGGGTGACATGTCTATATGTGCTGTAGTGTAACACTGTGGCAGGCAGAGACACAGTAGGGAGCTTATGAAGAATAGCATCCTCTCCAATCCTGAGTCAGTTCCAGGGGCTTCCCAACTATCCAGACGGGGAGGCTGAAAACAGTGGAAATATTTTCTCTACAGCTCTGGAGGATTGACACTAACCTCCAAGTGTGAGCAGGACCCAGTGGGAGGGGGCATGACTCCCTGACTAGTCGTGGGCTCTGCTTAACTGGAAGTCTTGGGCAATCCAAGGCTTATAAGGGATCATTTTAGCCCCAGGCTGCATTACCATGGAGCAGCAGGACCATGTCTGCCTGCCTGGTAGCTGGCCTAACAACAGTGGTACTCAGCCTGTGGGTCACGACCCCTTTGGTGTCAACTGACCCTTTCATAGGAGTTGAGTATCAGATATCCTGCATATCAGATGTTTATATTAGTTCGTGACAGTAGCAAAATTACAGTTATGAAGTAGCAACAAAAATAATTTTGGGGTTGAGGGTGACCACAACATGAGGAACTGTGTTAAAGGGTTGCAGCATTAAGAAGGTTGAAAAACACTGTCTCATGAGGGTGCCATATTGGATTAGGGATCTAATGACTTCAGTGCATCATCGTAGCTGCATGAGCTCCATTTCCAAAGAAGGTCACATTTGAGGTCCAGAGGAGTGATGCTTCATCCTATCCTTTTTAGGGGACCACAGTCCAACACACAACACCTCTAAAGTGTCAGAATTCCAGAAGCATCACCTGCCTTCTCCACTCAGGTGCTACTGTATCCTGCTGCATTGCCTGCTCACCAAATGAGCAAAGGCCAAGGCTGAAGATATAGCTAAGCTGTAGAGCATTCCTGCAAAAAACTGTAAAACAGACAAGCCAATAGATAAATTAGATGATAGATAGATAGATAGATAGATAGATAGATAGATAGATAGATAGGATGCATACACACATGCATGCATACATGCATATGTACATACATATATACATACATACATACATACATACATACATACATACATACATACATACAAAGTTTCAGGGCAAACCATACGGGAGAACAAAAAAGGAAGATAAGTTCAAAATCTGAACAAAGTCCTCACTGATAACTCACTGCTCCTGGAGTCCCCCTGGCTCGGGGTTCTCAAATTATTTCTATTCATGACCCCTTTTTGCCCAGAGTAGTTTTATTCAACCCAGGCTATGAAAGTATGTAACAAAATGCCAGGCCCAGAGAGATGGCTCAGTGGTAAAGCATGCTGGCTACTCTTAAGAGGACCTACCCTTAAGTCCCAGCACTCTATGGTAGCTCACAGCTGTCCGCAACTCCAGTTCTAGTGATCTGACACCTTCAGGTATCCATGGGTACTACATGCACATGATACACATATATACATATACACACATACATACAGGTAAAACACCCATACACGTAGAATATTTTTTAACATTTTAAAATATATGAAAAAGTCATATTCTTTTATATCTAGGCTATAAAAAGAATCATAAGCTTATTTTTAAACAATTCTTAGGTGTGTGCATTTATTATATATCATTAATATATATTTTACTATTAAAGACAAAGACAAGTTTCTATAATAATAAGATTAATTAAATATTGGCTAAATAATTGATATTGTAGGACACAGAGCACCATCGATTTTTTTTTAGAATTGATAGATATTTTTATTTTAAAATCACCATTTCTTAGACCAGTGTTTTGTATAAGGACAACAGAAATATATTTAGGACCATTTCAGAAACTATTGGAAATTCTGTCCTACACACAAGCTAAAATCCATGTAACAACTTTTTATGACTCACAAGCTAGCAGCTCCAGCGGCATTTTTTGGGTCTCATTTATTCCTTGACAACTTCACACATGTATATACAATGTATCTTAGTCATATCCGACCCAAGTAACCCCTCCCACTCTGCCCAGATCTCTACCAAGACATCTGCCTTCCAATCTCATGTCCTTTTTATTTAATATCCCACCGGGTCCAATTAGCACTGTGCGCATGTGCATGGGCGTGGGGCCACCCACCGGAGCTTAGGCAGCCTACCACCAGCCATAGCCCAGAAGAAGAATCACCCCTCTCTCCCCAGCAGCCATCACTTGTGCATAACTCCTCAACTAGAAATGTATCCTCTCCCGCCCATGCTGGAATGTTGACTGGCCTGATCTTATACAGGTCTTGTATAGGTAACCGTAACTGCTGTACGTTCGTGTGTGGAAGAACAGCCATGTCATTCGAGAAAGACGGTGTTTGACAGCCCTCATTACCACCCTCCAGCTCTTATACCCTGCCCACATCCCCTTCCTTGACGTTCCTTGGTGAGCCTTGGAGTTGTTGATGTAAATGTTTTATTTGAGGCTGAATACTCATTAATCTCTTAGGCTCTACACTTGACCACCCAACTTCGATAGAAGCTCTAACCTATGGGTATAAACAAAACTATTGAGAGCCATTTGACAACATGTCCCTTCAGCAAAACAGCAGTAGTAAGTTCTGTCCTCAAGCCTAGGACCTCCTGAGCCCTGGGCTTTGGCCCAGGTGTGCAATGTCGGGCCGGCATTCCCTCCCATGAAGTATTCATCGGAAATTGGTTACACACATAACAGTCATGTCACTGGTACATCTGTGTTACATCTTGCCTGGAAGATCAGTATTGTAACATGGAACATCCATCACGGGGTAACCTCATTCAGGATACTTTCCTCCCTCAGCATCCTGCATAGAACCTTCTGGCATTCTGAAATCTAGTCAACAGAGAGTCTGTTCTTTTCAGTCAGTTCTAGCTTGATTTCTCTTATGTCCCACAACCAAAGTGTCAAACAGCGATTTTTTTAAAAGTTAAACATGTAATATAATCCAAAGATACCATGCCAACCTGATGAAGAGCAACAGTAGGAAAATATTAAAAAGCCTTTACTATTTTAATTTTAAAACTTCATCAATATTCACTGTTCTGTATTCAAACCATTGTTTCCTTACCAGTAGAAAAATGCACATGTGCAGTAAAAATACTGCAAATTCATAACATACGAAAGTCTCCAATCTGTGCAGAGGTGTTTCGGGAAGCATGGCGTGACACCATGCACACAGAATAAAGTGTACATGTATGTGCAGAACCAAAGCTGCAGAGAAGTCATGTGATGTGGCACCAGGAAGTGCTGCCAGAAACACCTGGGGTCCATTATGCATTTGATTTTTAATTAAATTTTGGACTGTGTTTGTTCAGAAACCTCTGACTGTTGCCAGAATTTTCACAATCCTTACATTCAGTTAAGGGGTCACAATCCGCCATTTGAAAAGCTCCATCTTGAGAACCCTTTCAAGGTACCAGATAAGGACAGAGGAGACTGACATCTTCCTCACTCTCCCTCCAACCATTAGCAACATCTACTCTGTTGACTAGCCATCATGTCTGTCGCTCCAGCCAGGCAATTCCAAGACCCCAGGAAACCCAAGGAATTAGATTTCGGGGGAACCTCTAACAATGTCATTGTTTAAGATCTTTGAGTACCTGCCCCTGTGTGGCTATAAAAAATTGGCCCTTTTCATGATGCCCTGGGTCCATAACAGAAAGGGGAAGAAGATCATGTTTGCTCTGCTCTCCGTGAGCTCAACCCTCAGAAGTCCTGGACTTTGTAGAAAATGTGATGCAATTCACATTTTGTAAGGAAACAGGTAAAGTAGTGTTCTGGGCCCATGGAAGTGGCTTTCTCCTAGCTTAGTTTGCTTTTTAATCTATTTGCAAAATCAGAGCCAGCTCCAAGTAGAGGTCTGGCCTTCAGGTCTAAAGCTGGAGCATTTTCATGGACACCCCTAACTCTGACCAGAACTTGGGCCCTGAAAGAGGGAGTGTCATAGAAGCATGCCTTCTGATACTAGCTCCCCCACCCACCCCTCAGCACATCCTAGCCCCTGGCTGCTTTGATGCTGCCCGGGTCTTATCTGTGCTTTTAACCTTGCATGGCCACTTCTATGAGCAAGGTTTGGGGAGAGGTAATCTCAAACAGATGTACCACATTGGAGGCAAAAGAAAGAAATGCACCTGCTGACAGATGTCCTTTGAGATAAGCTCACAAAGGGTCCTCAGTGTTGGCAGAAGATCCTCTCACTGCATCTCCTCAGAAGCTGGAGGTGGGGGTGGCCCGCAGGACTTGACAGGAATAGCAATAGGGGAAATGGTTATGGTGGGTTGTTTTTTTTTTTTCCTAGAACTAAGTATCAAGAGTGATTTTCCATTGCTGTGTGCCCTCTGCTTGTTTTCTACCTTCATTAAATCTCACGACTACCCAAAGTCAGACATCTAGAAAGTGCCAGTGCAGAATGCATTCCTGAAATGCCTAGTTACAGAGCTATGACCTTGACAGAGATGCTCTGTTTGCCCCTCAGCATAGAAAGTCTGCCTTAGAATGAAACATTACTGGAGGCAGCGGGGGGGGGGGGGGGGGGATGGGACACTGCTTTTCTGGCCCTCTCTGTCTTTGTCACAGAGGAGTTGATTGAAAGGGGCGTTCAAATACACTTGTAGGGATTTAAGTCATTTCCAGGAAACAACTTCCAGCTTTGAGGGAGGTGTAGAGGCCTTGCTGGTGCAAAGCAACAGGCAAGGTAGAGAACATTGCCTGAGAAAGAGTAGCTAGACAGAATGACCTTGTAGGTTCCTAAGTGTCTTCCTCCTTGGGTCCCCCAAGGTCTCAATGTCTCAGCCACAAGAGAGACCTGACAAACTGTATTTTCTATCCCCCCCCCCACCTTTCTGCCTACTCTACAACCCTCCCTGTTCCCTGACCCTGGAACCCCCTCCTTTCTACACACGCACCCCTAAAGCTGCTCCTGCCCCCTGGGCTTTGAGGGACAGCGGTGTGAGATCAACCCAGATGACTGTGAGGATAACGACTGCGAAAACAGCGCCACCTGTGTGGATGGGATCAACAACTACGCATGCGTGTGCCCGCCAAACTACACAGGTACGGACATCGAGGGGTGCACCCATGCTGGAGTATTTTGTGGGGTCGAGGGTATCACTGAGAGGATGCGATTTTCTGATGACATCCTGGAAGGAGGAGGGACTTCACCTCCTCTCCAAGAAAGGGCTCCCCAATACCCTCTGTGTTGCTCGTCCCTCTCCTCCACCTTCATCCTCTCCGGAGTAAACCTCTGATTCCTCCCCACTTTGGAGGCTCTCTCCTCTGCGGTACTTACCGCCACCCCCTTCGTTTGGAACCCCACATGTTTGAGGCTGGGCGGAGGGACAATTTCACTGTTGCTGTCTGGATCTGGAAATCTGCCTTCCAGACACTCTTCTAGGAACTGGGGATGCAAAACTGAACAAGACCCAGCTCCTTCTCCTAAAAGGCTTAAAGGTCAGGCCAAGAAACACGAGCTTCAGGGAGAGAAGTCCCGGGTGGGGGGAGACCATAGTGGAGAACTTATCCCCCGCTGGTGAATATACAGAAGGCTCCCATGAGAAGGAATCCTCAAGAATGTGTTCCCACCCACCTGCCACCAAAGCCCACTGCCTCTGTTACCTACATCCACAACCCCTCCTGAGTAGAGTTAAATATACCATTAGCTTGAGAAACAAAATGTCACCAAGTGATGTCGGTAGCCTGCTTTGTGATGAAGTCAACCTGAAGTGGTATGTCCCAGACTGCACTTCCATGAACTCTTTGAAGGGTCAACCCATTAAAAACAGTAATAAGTATGGAAGCTTGAAAAACACTGCATACAGTAATAACCATCTTCTTGGAGCAGAGAACCAAACTGACACGGTAGAGCTGTGAACATTCCTACTTTAAGGAATTCTGTTTGTGTTCCTTCCCAGTGTATTTGATCTCTTCTTACCCCACCCCTCAACACCATTAGAGATCAAGACATAAGCGACATCATTTGGAAGTCCAAACCTAAGGCAAGGAGAAATATGATGCCTCTATTCGGGGTTCCCTACCGGAGTCCACAGAGCCCAGCTCTCCTGTGAAGTGGAGCAGGAAGTGGGAAATACACATGATGTCTGGAAGTGCTCTTCATACCTGCAGAGGAGGAAGGGCAGAAACTCCTTTTGCCCCTCAGAGACTTTGCAGTTAAACAGAGAAACCCTGTCTCAAAAAGAAAAGAAAACAAAACAAAAAAAAGAATATGTTCAATGCCAAATAGAATCACAAACCACAATGCCAGCAGCTAAGGTGGGGGGAAAGAGGCTCAAATTGCCTCTGTGGCAGAGATGGACTTTTAAATTTTTCCAGCATGCAGATGGGCATTTACGTGGGCAGCTGAGATGTGCTCTGTGCCCCATGGGGCCCCGCCTGGTATCTGCAGATGTGTTGCAGTTTGTACCTGAGAGGAGAAGTGTTACAGTTTCTATCTGAAAACATATCCACACCCTACTCAGAGGCTTGTCTATTCCCCTGAGTTTCTGCGGGGGACTAGGAAGATGCCTCCCTGTGCCTCTCCCTGGGCAAATGTAGAGAGGTGCAGTTCAGGTCCAAATCAGGGCAGGGCAGGGGTCAGCCAGGCCCCACCAGAGCAGAGACCAGCCTCTGAGGCTGATCCTCATGTAATCACTGCCCAGCCACCTCCATACTTCCTGTCCTGCTCAGCTTCCTGTTCCATCCTGACCCAACCCCCCACACACACCTTTCTGGAAAGAGCATATAATTAGACGGTTTTCCTCTCTTAGATCACCTTCTACTTGGCTTTTTCAACATAAAATCCAGGCTCAGTAGTTAAGAACACTATCTGCTCTGTCAGAGGACCTGGGCTCGAGTCCCAGCACCCACATGGGAGCTCACACTGTAACTCCAGTCCTGGGGGATCTGATGCTCTATACTGACCTCTGTGGATACTAGGCATGCTCGTGGTCACAGACATACATTCAGTCAAAACACTTACATACATAAGAATAAGAACAAGTAAACTTTTCAGCAAAAAATTAAAGAAAATCCTGCTTTAAACTCATTCACCGCTCCATGCTATGGCCCTGCTTCCTGCCCGTTTCTCCATTCCTTAATGTACATTTATTGGATTTATCCACAAGCTCCATCCCTAGGTATTTATGACACATTAGGTGTTTTTCGCAGCACTGTGAACTTCAAAGGTGGTATGTCCGGAGATCAGAACTGCAAGTTCCGTTATTTCCTTCTCTGAAGCATGCAGAGGGCTTTCTGGTCTGTAGCAGATTTAGCTTGCCTGGCCCATTTCCCCCAGGAAGCTTCCCCCAGCCTCCTCAGCACTCTGCACCCACAGTTTACCTTCATGGTAGCATTTACAACTCTGAATGGTAACTGCCTGCCTGGCTGCAGATAACACTCACACAGCAATGAGAAGAAAGACTGGCCATTGCTGTGTTCCCAGCACCTGGTACAGTGTCTCCCCTGATACTCAATACACCGTTGGTGAATGGGGGAGGGGCGTAAGCACAGCCCAAAGTCAGGGTCTGACCTGTGGCTTCCACTGCAGCAACTCCAGGAAGGCCAAGAGAAACAGCCAGACGGTGCTGACTGTCCAGGAGAGACCCCAGGGACCTCTCATTGTCCCTCTAGGGAAACTGAGTCAGGAGTCCTGTAGAAAGGATTGACAAAGGAAAGAATGTAGGGTTCCTGGTGTCCATGACTTAGATCTAGGGTGGGTCACATCTAACCCTGTGGCCTTGGCAATGCCCAGTACCCTTCCTGATGCCTTGTTTCTCTTCCCTGTGACCTCCAGGGGAACTGTGTGATGAAGTGATTGACTACTGTGTGCCCGAGATGAACCTCTGTCAGCACGAGGCCAAGTGCGTCTCCCTGGACAAAGGATTCAGGTAAGGCTTGGCTTCATGCTCTGGCAGAGAGCCCTGAGGACTCTCCCTCCAACAGCCTGGGTTTGAGGCTCTGAGGCAGGTGGTGTCTGTCTCTCCCTGTACAACCATTCCCCTGTCTTCCTCTCTCATGTATTCACGTGTTTCTGTCTCCGACCCAGGCCCTCGCATATTTCCCCAAGTTGCTTTTATCTTTTACAGTTTCTTCCTCTCTGGATTCTTCTGATGGTAGAAACAAAGAGGTGGATACATCACCTCATCCTCCTCTTTCCCTTTGCCCTCTCACTCTCTTCTCCCGCCTTCTCTCTTTCTTAGCATGTCTCTCCTTTCCAGAGCTGAATGAGGCATCCTAGGTAGACTTCCTGGTGGCCCACCATCACGGTCCTGCTTCCTCATGACCACAGGAAGTTTGCTAGACTGTGCAGCTGCGGGAGGGGAGGTGGGGCCAGGAGTCCTGACTCGGTGCAGCAGTCAATGCCATGGGTAAAGCTGTCTCCTTCATCTCCAGCAGCAAAGCCAGTTAGCATCAGGGGACCAGATGAGCAATTTCCAGTTAGGAGGAGGCAGCCTAAGAAGAACATCCAGTTCTCGAGCCTGAATGTATCTTCCCATATGTCATCTCTCTTTCTTTCTGTATGTGTGCACATGTGTGAGTGGGCGTACTCAACAGCGTGGCATGTGTGCAGGCCTCGGGTTGATGTGGATTGTTGGCAGAGGGTTTCCCACTAAGCCTAAAGTTTGCAACACCGTGGCTGGCTTTTATGTGGGTTCTGGGAGATCTAAGCTTGGGTCCTCAGACTTACACAGCAGGCATTTTACCCAGTGAGCCTCCTCTCCAGATATGTATTGTCCTTTTCTGTGGGGACATCATGGGCTCATTGCTAATCTCTAAGGGAATTATTGTAAGAGGTGTTAGACCTGTGGCTTTGCCAGGATAAAGTAAACCACAGGTTCTCTGTGCCGCCCCATTCACATCTACCTGTCTGCCCGTGCCTCTCCGAGATATGCTAGGCAGGAGTTTCAGGAGGTGGGGTCACCTGAGCGAAACGCCCCAGACTCCCACCACCCCAGGATCCAACATCAATTGAAAACTTCCATTTATGAAATACAAGGCTGTATACTGCAAGTGGACAAAACTGTGTGACGTGCAAACTGGAAAGAGGAAACGGACAAAATTCATGCTCAGACCCAAAGCAGAGATGCCCAGACTGTCAGGCAAAGGGTTTCAGGTGTGCTAGGAGGGAACTGTGGGAGGTGACTAGCCCTCAGCTATACAGAACAGTGAGAGGTGACAAGCCCTCAGCTATACAGAATGGGAAGATAGATATTCAAGATCAAGTAAACAAACAGCAAGCCTAGAAGTCGTTGGCTTTGAAACTGGTCAAGGGTGAATGTGGACACAGAGAGTTAGAACTGCCAGATTTTTCTATCCTCCGATGCTTGTTCTGCAGATGTCACCCTGGACTATAATCAAGGGTCCTTGTGTCTGGGACGAGATAGGAAAGGTACCACCAAGCTTTCCTTGAGTCTTCTTATTTATATGTCCTGTCTCCCAGGAGACAGTGCCTCAGAAAGTCTGGAAGCCAACTCAGTAGTGGTGGCGTTTATAATCAAATATATTCAAAACAATAATCTATTCTCCCGATGAGGCATTTTATTATTGTATCTCCCTCCCATCATCAAACACCTGATATCTCACAGCCTAGAGGGACGCTAATGAGAGGCAGTGATGCAGTCAGGGTGACCTTTGCTTATCCTTGGAGACACTTTAATGAGTGTTAGGCAGAAATGCTCAGAGGCCCTGAAAATAATAACGAAGAGATCTCATTGCCTTGTGTACACTGAAACCTCCATGCAGAACCTGGTCTCAGGAGCCCTTCACGCTTCCACTGGAGAAACCGGGTCCCTCTCAGTCCATCCCCAGTGACACACACCCAGCTGCCAGGGAACCAAGAGAGAGAAGGGTTTGCAAGTCAACAGGTCTGGCTGATTGCTCACCTAAATCCAGATACTCCAGGTGTCCCTGGCCTGTGGTCACTAGATCACACACAAACTTTACACATTGTCAGCATGGAAGATAAAGCAAAATGTTTGAAAACAGAAAGAATTGAAGTGACTCTACCTGCTGCCTCTGTAAGTGTTGTATAGACCCTGCTATAGGGAGTAAGGTCCTGAAGCCAACATCTCAGGGCAATGTGTGAAGAATGTAGTGTCAGGCCCTGCCCAGGCTCCCTGCTGGGATTAAAGGTGTGCTGGCTACATCTTTTTTTCCTTTTTTAAATAGCAAAATCTTGAGGTGTTTCCTTTGCTCATTAATGCTTGAGAAGAAGGCCATGCTGATAGAATTCTGTAGACATTTCTGCCTTCAGGCCTCCACCACTGAGTTTGGAAGAGAGAGTAATTTCCCTACTTGAACTTCATGCTTTTAAAGGTTGATTTTTGTCCTGTTAGATGTTGGATGGGGGTGGTGTTTCACACTGAGGAAGGTTGGTTAAGTTCAGGCGCTCTCCTGGGCTCTTTTGGATGCAGGTAATGCAAACTCAGATGCCTGCCAAGACTGGGGTGTTTGCTTTTGTTTTTAATATATTTTTCAGCTCGTTTGTGAAACGACAGGCTTCCTTTCAACATCTTCATGCATACACACCCACCGCTGTGCCCTGATCATATCCGCCCTTCCCATCCTCCTCTACCGCTCCACCAGACCGTTTACCAGTAGCTCAAGTGTTGAAATGAAACACAACCCCATCTCTCAGCCTTCTAGTTTGTTCCTTTAGGAAAATGGTGGATGTGATGGTGGGAGACATTTCTTAAATTTTTAAAGATGTATTTTATCTTATGGATGCATATATATGTACACATATACATACTATATATAGATACATACATATTCTGATGGAACTGTTTCTACAGGGTCACCATGTCCCTTCAAAATCTTTCTTAGCTCTACTTACCTGGCTCTGGTGTAATGCTGGGGTTCTGCCCGATTCTATCTATACTGAGGGAGGGATGGGAAGTGTCTCTTTAGTTTTTTGTTTGTTTGTTTGTTTGGATGGTTGGCTGGTTGGTTGGTTGATTGTTGTTGTTGGTTTTTTTTTTTTTCTTCAGAGTCAGGTCCTGAGGGTGCAAGCTAATAATTCAGAGCTCTCGCTTGCCCTGAACTCCCTGCCTGAACCCCCTCACCCTTGGGCTTGCATAGATGGCATTTTGACTTTTACTCTGCCCAGAAGAATTGAGTTGATGGGCCAGAGAGGTACACAGGCTTTGCAAGAGGGAGAGAGGCCAGTGAACACTGTGTCGATGTATGTGTATAAGGGTGCCTTAGCTCCGGGTGCTCTCAGGTCTGTTTCTATGCAGGGATTTCTGTTTTGTGACCTCAAATAAATGAGCCACAGACTCATGTTCTGTCTACATATAGCCTTAGTTTGGGTGATAGCAAAGTATGAAAGGGCTATGGACCCACTGCTCTCTAGGGAAGGCTGGACCAGTTGGGACTGGGGCCTGAGCAAGGACAGCTGCTTCCATCCTGCCCTCTGGGAAATAGGAGCTTTGAACCCTTCCTAGCTTAGCTTAAATGTCTGAACAAGCAATAAAACAAAGACAGAGGTAGTACCAATACCATCTTTTCCTTCATCCTCATTGTCATCATGTGTACTGTCTGACTTTACACAATGTTCACTGCACTCCAGAGTAGTGGAGGTTGTTGAAGACCCATGGCTTTGAGAGAATGTGCAAGAAAGAGCAGCCATGAGTGGCCAATACACCTAGAATAGCAACTGACACAGTGTCACTCCTGTCACTCGATGAGGCTTGAGTGCTTTCTGAGTGCTGCTTTAGATAGGGCCCTCTCCCCTGCAGGTCACTAAGGATCTGATGAGATGGTCCTTGAAGGTGCTCAGCTGGATGTCTGACACTAAGGACATCTGGGATGTCAACTCTAGGTAGAAGGAACCAGATCTGCCCCAAACACTGTGTGATTCTTCCCATGCTCCAGCCTGGTTATGAAAACAGAACTTGTCCCATCCCCTTACATGCAGCAACCAGACCCTCCTTGACTCTGGGAGCAAAAGCCATGGACCATAAGTGGAGCCCAGTAGCAAAGGGCAGCCTGGTGAACCCTTAAGGAACTAGAAAGCGAGGTTTGTCAAGGGAAGGCACAAGAGCACCTGCAAGCAAGCTGGCAGGCCCTGAGCTAGCTTCTCTCTGCCTGTGTTCCAGGTGTGAGTGTGTCCCTGGCTACAGTGGAAAGCTGTGTGAGACAGACAACGATGACTGTGTAGCTCACAAGTGTCGCCATGGAGCCCAGTGTGTGGACGCAGTCAATGGCTACACATGCATCTGCCCCCAGGGCTTCAGGTACGACAGAGAAGCACTTCAGAAGGAAGGTAGTGTGGTCTAGATGGAGGGAGGAGGCAGTGTTGCAGGCCTCCCCGAGGCTAACCAGGGTAATTCCATGCAGAAGTCAGGCTTGAGTCCAAGCTCACAGAGTCACATGTGTCTGATGCTACCTAACGGAGGATGCTACCATCCTGGAGTCTAGCTTGTGGGTGCTTGGAAACCAAAAATGGCATGGCATCTTAATGACAAGAAAAGATGTGTGAACTGAGAGTGTAGCTCAATGCTTAGCGTGTGTATGAGCCCAGGTTCAGTCCCTAGCACCAAATAATAAAAAAGACGATGAAAAACTGGAGGTGACTTAGCAGAGCATCTGGGATCAGTCTCTGGAATTGGTGCTAGAAGAAAGAAAGGGCAAAGAAGAGGGAGGCACTGGTCACTTGGTTAGATGTCTGTGGGGTATGCAGAAGAAGCCATCTGGGCTACAAGTCCCCCCTCAACCTGGACTGGAAGGGTTAAGCATGGGGATTCGGGAAACTAGGGGAGCGGGGACCATACGTAAAAGGCACTCGGACTGAAACCAGTACACTCTAGATACCATGAATATGAAATATGCAGATTAACCTTAACATAGACGCCAAGATATGAGCCAAGAAACAGTTCTGAGTTCTCCCTAGTCCTTATTGAACCTAAGGAGATAGTTCAACAGTGTTAAGAATAATCACAGGCTGGAGAGATGGCTCAGCAGTTAAGAGCACTAGCTGCTCTTCCAGAGGACCTGAGTTCAATTCCCAGCACCCACATGGCAGTTCACAACTGTCTATAGCTTCAGTTTCAGGGGATACTATACCATCACAGACATGCAGGCAGGTAAAACACCAATGCATGTTAAATTAAGATAAAATAAAAAGCTAGGAGGTGGTAACTCACACCTTACCAGCACTTGGGAGGCAGAGACAGGTGGACCTCTGTGAGTTCAAAGCTAGCCTGGTCTATAAAGTGAGTTACAAGGCAGCCAGGGTTGTTACACAGAGAAACCCCTGTCTCAGAAAAAAAAAAAAAAAGTCACATTGGCTTTGTGGTTACTAGGTTAATAGCACTCAGTGTGTTAGATTTTCACACGTAGCTTAGACAGATAACGCCAGACCAAACAGTTGGGAGGGGGTATTTAGGGTGGAGGGCAAAGGTGGGGAGAGAAACGGGGGGAATGGCGGAGAGAAGGGAGAAGTGGAGGCCCACCATGACCACGTAGAGAGAGGGGGAAGGGGAGGGGGAGGGGCGAGGGGCGAGGGGCGAGGGGATAGAGAACCTGCAGGCAGAAGGATCAAGGGAGCAAGAGAGAGAGGAGGGGCCAAGCAGCCCCTTTTATAGTGGGCAGGCCTACCTGGCTGTTGCCAGGTAACTGTGGAGAGGAGCATACCTGGGTGTTGACAGGTAACTGTGGAGGTATAGTTTAGACAGAATACTAACACAGTGCTCTTACAGAGGACCCAAGTTGCATTCAAAGCATCAGGTAGTTCACAACCACCTATAACCTTCAGCTCTGGAAGGATCCAACCCCTCTGGCCTCTGTGGGCACAGGCACTCATGTGCACATATGCACACACAGACATACACACATAATTCAAAACTATTTTTAAATAAATCTTTCTAAATAGAATATTCACATGGTAGCTCTGCCACAGCATTATGTCTCATCTCCAGAGCTCTTCACGCCCTGAAGAATTCTAACCCCAGCACCATCAACAACTCAACTCCCATGGCCTCCAGCCCCAACACCGTCAACGACTCCCCATGCCCTCCCTGTAACACTGACAATCTCATTCCACTTTTTGTCTCTGTGAACCAACTTCTCCAGGCACCTCAGCTGAACAGTCAGGCAGTGCTGGCCTTTATGGCTGGCTCCTTTCTCTGAGCACAGCTCTCTCAAGGTCCATGTGTATGGTTGTAGGTGTTAAAACTCCTTCCTTGGTAAAGCAGGATTTCCCTGCTGACCAGCTATGCTATGTTCCATTTATGCATTCAGCTGTACTCTGCACAGACTCACCCCAGTCCAACCTGATAACTGAAATCTCCACTCTAATCCAATTCACTATTTTTTAGTTTATTTATTTATTTATCTATCTATCTATCTATTTATTTATTGTATGTATACACACATACACCATACTCTTATAGAGATCAGAGGACACTTTGAGGACAGTTCTCTCCTATCATGGGTGCCAGGAATCAGACTCAGGTCATCGGGCTTAGCAGCAAGCACCTTTACCCACTGAGATGAGCTACATGCACTAACTCGATTTGTGAGAGAAAGAGAGACCGAGACAGACAGAGACAGACAGAGACAGGCAGAGAGTCAGAGAGAGACAGAGAGAGAAAGACTGAAACTTAACTTGCTCCAGTTAGAGGCAAGGATGGAACCTCCCACTACAGCTCTCCTCTTTATCGATAACTATGGGTGTCTCCTCTCTCCAGTGGGCTCTTCTGTGAGCACCCTCCACCCATGGTCCTGCTACAGACCAGCCCCTGTGACCAGTATGAGTGCCAGAATGGGGCTCAGTGCATCGTGGTACAGCAGGAGCCCACTTGCCGCTGTCCCCCAGGCTTTGCTGGACCCAGATGTGAAAAGCTCATCACTGTGAATTTCGTGGGCAAGGACTCCTATGTGGAACTGGCCTCCGCCAAGGTCCGGCCCCAGGCTAACATCTCCCTGCAGGTATGTCCGTTCTTCCCCTCCCAACTACCACGCTTGGAAGGAGTATGGCCCCCTCTGAGTACAGCTGGATTTTCCCAGATCATTAGCAAGCTGGCCTCTTTTCCCAGAATATGAGCTTTGCAGGAGCTGGGCTGGAGCAGTCCATAAGAAACTCCCTGGTGAGTCTCGCAGCAGGCATCAGCCCCTCATTAAACCATTCATTCCTTAAAAATCACTCTTGCAACTAGCATATGCTGGGCAATGGATACCGGGTGCTCTGTAAGGCCAAACAGCCACTAGGACAGAGAAAGAGACATGGGTGCTGAAAGAACACATGGGGTGGGGTGGTGGCGGGGTGGGGAAAGGACATGCTCCTGGCCTATAGGGAGGAATCAGAAGACTGTCCAGATGCATCGAGAGCTAAGCCAGATCCGAAGCTTATATAGGACTTTACCTAAATTCTGGGTAATAGGATAAGAGAATGGGGTGGCCAAGCAAAAAGCATAGGCCAGAGAGGAACTAAGAGATCTGCATTTCTAAAGGCATAGAGAGGCACAGCCAAGCAGGACCACATTCAGGGAGTGGGAAAGAGGTCAGTATGAATCAAGTTGTTTTCTCAACAGCTTAGGTCCAGGGATGCAACTGGACAGAGCTGGTCAATTAGTAGCCCAGGCACTCCTGGGTGATCCTGGGCACACACAAGGGCTCTGTGACCCTAGCTGAGTGATTTAATCTGGAGCTTCTCTAATTATTCAGCGCCTATAATTATTACCTTGTAATTCGCTTGAGCGCCTAGACACAGCAGGCTGTGCTCTAGACCATAGGGCTGAAGAACCACAAGATCCTCTCCCTGCAGAGCCCTGACCAGTGAGCAGAGCTGTACTGTAAGGGTGGATGCTAGCACAGACAGGAAGCCACCACCCTTCCAGCTCTCTTCCTTCACCCTTCCCCATCAGAACAGCCCCCAGTGTTCCAGACACCCAAATGGGATGTACCTGTGCACATCCCGTGGAGACTCACCCAGGAGCCAGCTGGACAGCAGGACAGCTCCTACTAAAGCCTGGCTTCCAGCCTCAGCAGCACCTAGAGTCCCCTGTAGAGCTTTCAAACTCATGTTTGCCCACAGAAGCTAGTACTGACTTGCTCTGGGGTGAAGCCCAGACAATAGTATTATTCAGATTCCCCAGATGGCTCTGAACACATTGCTTGCTTTGTAAGATACACTGAGGTAGGCTCTGGTCTTTACCTATCGCTTACAACTATTATTAGATACTTGATACTGAGAGACAGGGGCTTCAAAGGAGGCGGGTACTTTGTGGGATCACATTGTATCCTAGTGGGAGAAGCAGATTAGGACTGGGGCCTCCTGACTTATATAGATACAAGCCCAGTTTCTACACATTTAGCCAGCCACAGATCATAAACATTTTAAAGAAAACTGCCATGAAATTGAACATGTATGGACACTCTGGGCCCCCAGCAGGTATGTCCAGCCCACAGCCCTCTGGCCAAATGGTGCCAGCTATGAACATGATCCAGACAAAATCGGACACTTACTCCAAACGTGAGATGTTTTTACTTGTGAATTTTTTATAAGCTGATTGCACAGTTCTCCAGCATGAGTTTGTAGGTGACAGTGTTACATCACAGTCTTAAACAGTTGACAATGATGGTAACCACTACACGTTCGTGACAGCTATTGCCATAGTATTTTTCCTGTCTCGGGTATCGTCATTCATCCGGAGGTAATAGAAAGCACATGGGAGGCATGCAGGGATTCAACGCAGATACTCTTCTATGTAAGGGACTTGAGCATCCTTGAGGGGTGGTGACCCTGAGGTCATAGCACATAGTACATGTTCAATGCATATTTGTCAAAACAATTTGCTCAGCTAGCATTTGCTGGAGTATAAACTTGAGTCTTGCCTTCTGCACTAGAAAGGACAGATGGGAAAAGAGATGTGGATTTGAATTCTAATCTGGTCCAGGCTCTGAGGTAGCCACCTCAGAGCTGGGAGTGAGTCCGGTGAGGTTGGAGCTTGGGTAAGTCCTAACCTATATGCCCTGATTGCTCTCCCCAGGTGGCCACTGACAAGGACAATGGCATCCTTCTTTACAAGGGAGACAACGACCCCTTGGCCCTGGAGCTGTACCAGGGCCACGTGAGGCTGGTGTATGACAGTCTGAGTTCTCCTCCAACCACGGTGTACAGGTAAAGACCTCCCCTCTCAACCACAGAATCTCTTCCTACAGAGCAGACACCAGGTGACTCTGGGGCCTCCTGTCCCACACAGACAGCGCTCACACAGTGGCAGGTGGGAGGGAGAAAGGTGCCACTGGAGGCAGAAGCGGGAAAGGAAGGCAGGCCCATGTGGGAGATGACACCTCATTACCATAAGATAAATGGCCAGCTGGCTACTGTGCACGGAGCCAGGTGCTCCAATGGAGACGGGGCTGCTTAATGAGGTGCCCTTTTCAAAATGTCATCCTAATCTTTTATTAGTTTAAGAAAGAAAGCAGGGCGATTAGCATGCAATTCAAGGAGAGGAAATTCAAGAGCACCTAGGGAACAGGACTATACTTAAATGACTTTCAAACTGTTCTGAAAGACAGTGCTAAACCTAAGTCTCTTTAATTCACCCTATAGGTTGGGCAGCTTGCTATAGCTGTAACAAAGTACCAGAGGTGCGATCAGCTTATAAAGAGGGAAGGTTTCTCTTGGCTCACAGTCTAGAGATTTCAGTCATGCTCACTTCATGGCAACTGAAAAGCAAAGAGAAAAGAGGAGCCCAGGGTCTCATCATTCCCTTCAGCCTATGCCCCTCAGTGAGCAGAGGACTTCCCACACAGACCCTACTTCCTGAATATTCCACCACCTCCCAGTAGCACCATGCACTCTGAGCCAGGCCTTCTACATACGAGCTTTTAGGGGACATCTTAGACTGCGGACTGGAGCATGTGACTTGACATGACTACTGTGCAGCAGTTCTCTCTTGGACACTGTAGGCCAACACTGAGCCTACTCACTCTTGGCAGCCTGACCTGAAGGCCATCTCACAGACAGGCTCATTCACTCTGAATGTTTCCTGCTCTTTAGTAAAGGACTCAGTTAGTGTCCCTCATCTGAGATAATCCTCCAGAGTCAGAAACCTCATGATGCTCGCACGTTTTCAGTATTTAGACCCCTTATCTAAAATAAGGCGGAACCACCCTGCAGATTTGGGAAGCTCAAGCCTCTGATTCTCCTCTAGCAAACCCAGTTTGAAAACCCTGGTTAAAGCTAGTGGTATGAGCTGGTGACGGCAGTGAAGGCCTTTAATTCCAGGGCTCCGCAGGCTAAGAAGTGAATGCAGATCTCTGTGAGTTCGGGGCTAGCCTGGTCTATAAAGTGAGTTCCAGAACAGCAAGGGCTACTCTGCTTCAAAAAAGCTAAATAAACAAACAGCAGTTTGGGCTGGAGGGCATAGTTCAGTAGAAGAGTGTTTATCTAACGTGCCTGCAGCCCCTGAATCCAGTCTTCACGTCACACACGCACACACACACACACACACACACACACAGTGGAGTGGGAGATGGAAGCAAGGGGAGGAGGAATCAGTGATTCTGAGAGCAGACTGTAGTCCCTGAGGTGACAACACGTAGTAATGTGGTAAAAATACAGAAATATACATTTTTTTCAGTCCTCACCCCAGAAGTAATGAATGTGAAGCTATCAGGGAGAGGACAGCAAATCTGTGTTTAAGGAATCCTTCAGGTGACTCTCATGCATTAAAAGAAGAGAAGAGGGAAAAATTTGAGATAAGACCCTTCTGTGTAGCCCCAGCTGGCCTGAAACTCATTATGCAGACCAGGCTAGACTGGAACACCCAGAGATCTATCTGCCTCTGCCTCTGGAGTACTGGATTAAAGGTACTCGGTGCATAAATTTCAGAAGCGGGGCTTTCCGTGTGAGAGTCGGATCTTGTAGGGAGAAACTTGCATGCGCGGAGACAACAAGAGCACCAACCAGAGAGGAAGGCTCACAGTGGGAGATGGGGAGAGACAAGGCAGACACTGGGTCTCCTAACATCTTCATTTCTGAAACTGGTGACCTTGAACCAAGTGGGAAGGACAGAGAGTGGGGAGGCAGGGCCAATGGCCACCTGACAAACTGCCTGAGAGAAAGCACTTGGTGTCACTCGGAGGGTTAAGGGAGTGTCTTCCTCTCCTGCCCAGCCTCCTTCCTATGGCACTGATGGGCACTTCCTAGGGTGCTGGTGAGTGTGAAGCAGTGTTTGGCAAGTAAGCCGTGTCGTGGGCGGTACAGAATGAACTGTTAGAGGCGGGCTTCCAGAAGCATCTGAGCTCGGTGCAGAGTGAGGGGCCTTCTGGAAACACTATGCTGAGTTGGGGACCAGGGGACCTTTGCTGCCTCCTAGAGCTGCCCCCAGGGAGCTATATGAATGTATTGATAGTGAGTCCACTAGGGAGATGGCGTGCCCTTGGAAAGGAGCACGTGTGGGCATCTAAGCAGATGATGTGGATTCACATTCCAAGCCTGGTGGCAGAACATTACTGCCCTTCAGCACGTAATCATAAGGGGCCCCAGGCTCCAGAAACACTGCACGGAAAGTGATTTTACGGGACAGTTCATGTATGTTTATATGCATGTCGTTCACATCATCTTAAGGCAACGAGAGAGAGAGAGAGAGAGAGAGAGAGAGAGAGAGAGAGAGAATGTGTTTTGAGACAGGGTTCTCTGTGTAGCCCTGGCTACCCTGGAACTCACTCTGTAAATTGAATTTATAATTCTAGCTAGCCCATATAAAGGATACAATCCAGGTATTTTATTTACAAACCATAAGGCTAGATTGGCAGGTTTGGAGCTTATTCCTGGCTATAAAGTCCCTCGTTACTTGCTGTTTCTCCTGGCCACATGCTCATGGTCCATCTCCTCTCTCCTGGTGGCCTCCTCCACCTCAGCCTTCTGTCTCCTCCTCTCCCTCTGCCTGCAACCCCCTCACTGGATCCTCAAGACCCACCTCTCTCCCTCCACTACCCAGTCACAGTCTTTTATTGACCAGTTAAATCGGGGAGCAAGGTTCACATAGCATCACTTGGTGTATGTGCGGATCTGCTCCTGGGGCAGCCACGTCTTGAGAGCCAGTATCTAGCATTAGAATACAAACAGCAGCAGACCAACCCACTACACACTCTGTAGACCAGGCTGACCTCAAACTTGGAGATCCCCCCACCTCTGCCTCCCGAGTGCTGGGATTAAAGGTGTATGCTACCACCACCTGGCAAGCATATGCAGTATTTTTAATAATACATGTTTTGATTGCAACCCATCACAGGAGGTCATGTGTGAAATTTTCCACTTCTAACAGCATGTTAATACTAGGTTTTTGGTTGTTTTTTTTTTTTTTTCATTTTGGAGTCTTTTGCATTTTGATTTTTAGATAGAGGGATGTTTAACCTGTAGTGTTATCTCTCACTCACTGACCTACTTGGTAAACATCTGTCAGGTACCTGGGCTGAGTGTGGGGGCATGAGGTTAAGCATCCCACACACAGAAGACACGCATGTTCACAGACAGTAGCTACACATGCAGAATCTAACAGGCCTCCCTGGAGGCTCTCCAGCCTGCTGTGGGGACACTTCCAAACAAGGAGTAAATAGTCCTGCTTGGAAGATAAGGGATAGTGTTTCCACAGGGCAGGACTGGGAGATGCCTTCTGTGAATGCCATGCTGGGAAGGGCTGTAATTAACAACTGGCACTCAGAGCTGACAGCAGCTGAAGGGACAGAATGCCGTTCCTCAGAGTCACTGCAGTGACCTCTTGCCACCTGGAAGGCCATGTCAGCCTCGAATGAAAGCCAAGCTGCCAAACTAAAGTTGACCCATCAGGAGAGTTGGCAGCCGACAGATTTCTGTCCCCTGAGACCCTATGAGCCAGCCTCATGAAAGAGTGAATTGCCAGGGCCCCTGCAGCCTTCATCCTTCTGGAGCAGCTGGGTTCCAGGGCCTCCCCCTGTCCATCCTTGATTCTGCTAAGGCCCCCCAGTAGTCATAAGAGCTGAAGAAACATGTCAAGGTTCTGCTGTAGGCAACAAGGCAGACACACCAAGCTTAGCTGGGTCTCTCCTGCCTCAGGATAGGCCAGGCCTTCGGTATGGAGACTTTACCACGAGACTCCTCTTCCCACAGGGCCAGGGGCCTGCAGGAAGGGCAGCTTAACAGAACTCCAGTGGGAGCTGTTATGTGGTAGGAGCTGTAGACTATGAAGAAAAACTGGAAGTTCGGAGTTTAAGGGGCCATGTCTTAGGTTTTTTTTTTTTTTGGATTTTAAGGTTCAGAGCTCTGTGCATGAGTCAGCTCTACCTGGCAGGGCGCATACCCTGGCAGTTTGAATTGCCACCACCACCCATCAGGCGGGTCTTGGTCCCATCTCATCCTCAGCACATGAACGAGCAAATATCATCACTCCTGTGTGAGAGTTGAGAAGCCTGATTGCTCAGAGGAATCCCAGGATGGGAAGAGCTTGGCCTTAGACACAGATCAGGTTCCCACTGTGTGGCTGCAGGCTGTGGTACTAGGGCGCAGATTCCCTAGGCCCAGGCTGCTCGCCTAAAGAAATCACAGGAACAATTTGTTCCTGCAGGGCTCTGTCGCCACCTATTGGTCACTCTTGGCATGGGAAGAAATGACCACCTGATAATCTTTCTTGTACGGCCTGCAGTCCCATAGCTGGGAGACATGAGCTTTAGTTCTGACTCTTTGTGAGGTAGCCTGATTCCCTGGGCAGTAAGTCTCTTGTTTCCAAACGAGGAAAGATGCGCCTCCTGCGTGTGGGCTAGTTAGGGTTAAAGGATGATTTTCAGCTCCTGCCCTTACCCCAAGGCCCACCCACTGCCACTAGGAAAAGAGAAAGGTAAAGAACATTTCCTGCTCTTGTAGAAGACACTTTCAGTTCCCAGAAGCTGTATCATGCAGCTCACTGTACCTGTAGTTCTAGGAGAACCAACATCTTCCTCTGGTTTCAGGAAGCACCGGGCATGCAACTGGTGCACATACACACACACGTTTTACACACAGACAACTCACGTGCACACAAATAACTACATCTTTAAACACAGAACAGAGCCGTGGGCCCCTCTGGCAATGCCTGTGGCCATAGCAGCCCTAGGCAGGAGTCCTCCAGCCTGCCACCACTGCTACTGTCTGGGTCCCAGTGGATAATCCAGAAGACTCGCAGGCCCTCAGCTCCCCTGAAATCCCTGATGATCTCTCCAGGAGCCCGATCACCGGTGCTTGGCAGTGCAGCATGGGTCATTTCTCTTAGGACAAACAGAAGGGTTAGGCTTGGTTTTTGCTTTTACTGTCGTTGTTGTTGTTGTTGTTGTTGTTGTTGTTAGCAGTATAGCTGTTTGCCCACTGATATTTTGATTTGGAAGACCAATGTTTACAACTCTGACAGAAATCTGTGTGTGTCTGTGATTAAGAGTGCAGGGCATGCTTGTGGAGGTCAGAGAACCACCCCGTGTATCAGTCTTCCTGGCCACTTTATTTGATACTGGCTCCTCGTTTATTCCTGTGTATGCCAGGCTGATCTGTAATCTTCTGAGGGCTCTCCTGTCTCCACCCCACATCTCCCTGTAACTCTGAGACTATAGATACACACTACTGAGTCTGGCTTTGCTAGGATTCTAGGATCCAACCTCGAGTGTTGACTGTTACACAGCTCTTTGCCTACCGAGCCATCTCTCTGGCCCTTACACCTTTTTTGAAGGGTGAGCAGGGCAGGCAGACAAAGCTGTCCTTGGTACCAGGGGAGCCCAACACTCCCTGGGGCAGAGAGTTATAACTGCAGTCCTTGTTACCTCGATAGATGCTGGAAGCACTGGACCCAGCCTGGTGGCCCTCAACCATACACCAAGGCCTCGGCTGGCCCTACAGAGCTCAGGAAGAGACAAGAAAATGGCCTTAAGAGCCAGGAAGGAGCTAACAGTATTGCTTGCTGTGCCTGAGTATATCCAAAACAGGAAAATAACTAGCCCGACTACTTTGACCCTTACTTGTTTCTGGAAGGAAAGAAAGAGAAGGCCTCATGCTGTTACCCTGGCTTCAGAGCTGCCTCTGATAGGGAATCTGTCTAATGCTCACCCAAGCATGAGGCTTGGCCTCTAGTCTGTGGGGCTGTTATGAAATGGCATATTGGAAGAGGAAGTGGGGCCACTGGGCAGATATGCCCTTACAGGGAACATTGGGACCTTGGGACCCAGCCCCTTCCTTCTTACTTCCTGGTCACCAAGAAGTAAACAGGACACTCTCAGACTGTCTAAAACAGCTCTGGAATGCAACCTTTGAAACTGAGTTCCCAAATAGCCCATCCCTCCTTTCAGTTATGGGTCCCAGGAGCTCAGTTACCAGGACAGCAGCAGCTCTGGGGTGGTCAGGGACACAGCTGCACATTTTTGCACAAGGTTAGAAAACTAAGAGAGGCCTTGGCCCTCTTTCTCTAACCTTTAAATATCAACTTGTCTGCAAGAGGACAGCCTCTGCCTGCCCTTGTTCATGACTCAGGGCAGTAGAGATGCTTCTGGCCACTTCCCTCAGCTCCCCATCCCTGAACCAGATCCCCCGCTGTCTCTCAGCTCCTGCCCCACCCTCATTTTGCTGATTCCTGGCTGGACCTTATGCTCAAAAGTTGGTTGTTTGATTTAGAGATGAGGTGGGGTGTGGGCTTCGTGATTTGTTATTGGTCCCCAGCACCTAAGACGGTATGAGTCAGTCCTCAGTGGAAGCATGGGTGGATGGATGGATGGACAGGACGTGTGGATGGAGTGAATGGAGAGGAAGAGGAAGAGTAGACAGCTCCATGAGTAGGAAAAAGGAAAGAAGAAGGGAGGGTGGGAAGGATGGATGATGAGAGGACAAATGGCTTTGTTTGTTTGTTTGTTTGTTTATTTGTTTTGGAGGACTTGCGTGGATTCTAGGCCCCTCTACCATTGCTTTCTCCCAGGATCAAAGCTACAGTGAGGATCACCAGGGTGCAGGCTGTGGTGGGTTCTTATTGTCAATGTTCTCTGTCTGTGTGCACATGTGTGCACATGGAGGCCAGAGGACAGCCTTAGGTATGGGTCCTCTGCTGCTGTCCATCTTTGGAGGCACGGTCTCTTACTGGCCTGGAACTGACTGCCGGGCTAGGATTGCTGAGTGTAGCACTGCCCCTGGCTTTTTCTGTGGGTTCTGGGGACCTAACTCAGTGCTTTCAAGACTAACACTTCACTGACCCAGCTCTCTTCCTTAGCTCCTCATAAACAGTACAGATATCACCAATAACTGTTCACATTTGCCCAATAATTTGATCCCCAATAATTCTAGCAGGTTACTCTCCCTCTTATGGAGGAGGACACTGAGACAGGGGGATTCTGTGATTGGCTATTGTCCTGCCCAGCAGTGCCAACCTGTACAGTACTTACCATTTCCCTCGGCTCTTCTGAAGTACCACAGGCATTGAAACTCTCCCTGCTACCTGTAAGATCAGTGGGAATCCCAAGGAGACGTCAAGATGAGTGAGAGTCTCCTGTCCGCCACCCACACCTGAACCAATGAGACAGATCTATGGACTCCCCAGTGAACCCCTTTCTTCATATCCCCAAGGTCCTATAACCCACCACAGTTCCCTCCCAGGCCCTGCCACCAACAGTGTCCTGGGAGAAACAGAACTTTGGAATCAAAAGTCTTGCCTGTAAACTCTATCTCTGGCATGTATTCGCTGGATGACCCCAGACAAATCACGTAACCTCTCTGGCCCTCAGTGTTTTTATCTGTAAAGTAGGTTATCTTGTACCCAGTCATAGAATTATCAAATAATATAAGTGTGTTGGCACTATACATGGCCCAGGTAAATCCTGTTCTGTCACAGATTAGTGAGGGAAGGGAAGTAAACAGCCCTGTCTCCCTAAGCTGCCAACCCTGTAGTTCTGGAAGGAGGAGAAGACTCATTTGGCATATGAGGACCCTCTTTGCTCAGATGTGGCCTGCTCAGAAGTGGTGGTTATACAGTGGATTCAGAAACAAGAACAAATTACTGAAATCTTAACCGAGAGAGTGTATGTTTCATACATGCTAGGGAAAAAAAAATCACATCATACTGCAATGTTTTCTCCTGGATGTTTCTTAGGGGAAGACTAACTCTTCAGCGAGGTTGATGGAGGAAATGGGGTATTTGAAGGGGCAGCATCTTCCGAGAGCAGGTGTCTGGGTGGTCTGTGGGCAGAGCCAGCCTGAGATGATAGCTTGCCTACTCTGAAAAAACCAGGGCAAGAACTGAGCAGCAGCTCAGCGACCCTGCGCTGGCTCTGTGGTGAGAGCAGAAACCTGCTGCAAGGGCCGTCACTGGGGCCACTGTACATCCGGATGTATAAAGGCTGGCATGAACAGTAACTGCTCCCTGCTCAGTCAGTACACTGTGCCTATGTGAGAGAACAGCCCTGTTCTTGGGAGACACAGCTGAGGGACCCAGAGGTCAAAGGTCATGACATGCATACCTTATCCTTGCAGAGGTCAAGGGTCATCACATGCATACCTTATCCTTGCAGAGGTCAAGGGTCATACCATGGGTACTTTGTCCTTACATCACTCACAGAAACTGGAGCTGGGAGCCAGATAGAAGTAACTGAAGAGAAGAGTGTGGGCAATTAGGCGTATTTTCTGGTTTTATTTTTGCAACTTCTGTAATTCACAGTTGTTTCCAAATGACCGTAAAGCAGGACGCAAGCTCTGCAAATCCAACCGCAGCCCCGTTCCTGGCCCCGGAGCGCACTTGACCTCTGGCTCTCTTCCTTTCTCTCCTGTCCAGTGTGGAGACGGTGAATGATGGTCAGTTTCACAGCGTGGAGCTCGTGATGCTAAACCAGACCCTGAACCTGGTGGTAGACAAAGGCGCCCCCAAGAGCCTGGGAAAGCTCCAGAAGCAGCCAGCAGTGGGCATCAACAGCCCCCTCTATCTTGGAGGTAATGTTCTCCCTGTCACCACCCGGTCCCACCTCCCTCTACCTTTCTGACTTCCTGTGTCTACACTGACACCCAGACCTGATGCCAGGGGTCTCCCTAATGTCTTTTTGGCACCTACTGCCAAAGTCAATTAGGGGAGACTTCCTGGAGGAAGTGGCGACAAAACTAGTTGCTGAAATAAGGAACAGACTCTGGACAGATGTTCATAAAGGAAAAAGGGTGGGTCACTGTGGGAATAGCAGGTGGTGGAGGTGAGGAGAGGTAAGAATAAGATAGAAGGGTGTCCAGGCTCTGCGGCAGCTTGCAAGCTTTGGGGTGGTGCCCCTCTGCTCTACCTCTTACACATGGCAAGAAGCACCACACTGAGGTCAAAGTTGTACAAAGGGCAAAACAAGAAACTATCCAAGCTGCCTAGACCTGAAATAAAGCCCCTAGGTTGATGGCTGATGGATCTTGAATTATATGCAAAAAAGAAAAACCAGCATCAGACCGGGGGGTGGGGGGGGGGGAGTTTCAGATTGGGACTCGGTGGTAGAGTACTTCCCTGATTGGAACAAACAGCAGCCAGGCTTCTCTCCCCAGCGACACGCATTCGCACATGTGTCCACACGCAGGCACCAAAGCAGTTTGTTCAATTCAGATTTCTAAGACTTCAGCCCAGATGTCCCCAGCCAAGGGCTGGCATGGAGCCAGGGACTTGCACTTTAGACAGGCTGTCCAGATGCAAGGGACACAGAGTGTTTCTGGCCCAGACTCATATTAGGACACAGCTTCTCCACAAGGAAGAGGGTTGCTCCCTTCCTGTACCTGTTCACCCTGTGGCCAGGACAAAACTGAACACTTTTCCTGCCAGCATGGGGCCTGCATGGGAACTGGCAGGAAAGGAAGAACAGAGAGTAAAGCGGTTTTGTTGGTGGTGGTTTTTGTTTGTTTGTTTTGAGACAGGGTCTCCTATAGCACAGGCTGGCCTCAAACTTCATCTATAGCCAGTGATAACCGTGAACTTTTCATTCTCCTGCCTCTACCTACTGAGTGCTGGGATTGCAGGCATGTGCCCCCATGCCCAGTTTATGTAGTTGCTGGGATTGAACCCAGGACTGTAGGTATGCTAAACACACACACACACACACACACACACACACACACACAGAGTCAAGCTCTCTGCCCAACAGTAAGAGGAGAGAGAAAAAACAGAGCAGATGTCCCTGAAAACAAGATCAGGCCTTTACCAGGAGTCTGCAGACGGCCCCGAGAAAGACATCAGGGTAGCGCAGAGGGGGGTAAAATAGTCTGGAAACCTTGAACCCCAAAGCTTCACTGAAGCAAGCTGTTCCCCTAACTTTAGCTTCTCCCCAAACTGCAGCTCCTTTGATGTGGGCTTTCAAACAGGAACTAGGGCAAGAAGCACCTAACCTTGTGGTGACAGGGATAGTGGGGTGACCTGGTAGTCCTCTGCCCACTCCATGCCTAAGGGGTGGGCCTTAGTTAAGCCCGGGGGGACTGTGTGTCAGTAGATGACAGGTCTTCTCACTCCTCCTTTGAAAGCTCAAAATACAGACTTCTGCGGAATTTTTTTTTCTGGATTTAGATACTTGTGGTAAGATGAGTTTTAACAGTTCCAAAGCCTGGACACACGTCCCTATGAGGATAAGGCCGGGGCCTGGGTCCATTAACTCCAGTTGAACCGCAGAGGGCCAGAGATCTGAAGGGTGACTGTAGACGGGTACTGTGTATGTCCTCCCTGTGAAGACAGAAGGGGTGGAGATGGGAAAGTGTCTTCAGGCTGTCCTGGCTTCCTCCCGCAGGCATCCCCACCTCTACGGGCCTCTCAGCCTTACGGCAGGGTGCAGACCGGCCGCTGGGCGGTTTCCACGGCTGTATCCACGAAGTGCGCATCAACAACGAGCTGCAAGACTTCAAAGCCCTCCCACCCCAGTCCCTGGGGGTCTCTCCTGGCTGCAAGTCCTGCACTGTGTGTCGCCATGGTCTGTGTCGCTCCGTGGAGAAGGACAGCGTAGTGTGTGAGTGCCATCCGGGATGGACTGGTCCACTGTGTGATCAGGAAGCTCGGGACCCCTGCCTTGGTCACAGGTGAGTCCTGAGCACAAGTTGCCCTGCCCACGTCTGAGGAATGGACACTGATGGAGGCTGGGAGTTGTGGTTGGTCCTGCTATGGATAGCGCAACTACTTAACATGCCAAGAAGCGGGGACGTCTGAGCTGCATACCTGACTTGAAAACCTGAGTGTGAGAAGAGCTTTCTCGAAGTATCTGTCTCCAGCAGGCAGCCCTCAGGACCTGTGAAAGCCACTGCCAGACTCTGCATCGTGATTAGAAAAGGCCAGCTTAAGGGAACTAGAACCCCAAACACAGCACAGCAAAAACAGAAGACAGGAGCTCCAGCTCCTGCAAGACCTACAATGTACTAGACCTGCATAACAATGCACGTCAGAATCCTATTTAATGGTTCAATCATCCATTACTCGATCAACAAATGTTTATCGAGGGCCTACTATGTGCAGGGCCTTGTACTAAATACAAGAGACCCAGTCTGCCCAGAAATTGATTCAGCCAAAAGTAATACCAGACTCAAGACTGGTAATTTGGCTGGCTGAACAAGTTGGGAAATAACAGTCTTGATCAGGAAGGAAGGAATGGATACTTAAACTTCCTGTTACTCTTAATGCTATTTGCCTGGCCCTGGAATTAACATGAATCCTGACTTGAATGTCATCCCAGTAAGCTCAGAGCTATATCATGATTGAAAATTAAGGCTTTGTGGCATGGAGAGATGGTTTAACAGGTAACGGATTTTGCCTCTCAGCCCGATGACCTACATTTAATCCCTAGGACCCACACAATAGAAGGCAAGAACCACCTCCCACAAGTTGTCTCCTGACCTCCACAACCATGCTGTGGCATGTGCATCCACAGAAATAAACAGATAGATAAATAAATAAAAGTAATATCTTTAAAAGAATGAGCTGGGGGCTGTAGAGATGACTCAGTTAAGAGCACTGTCTGTTCTTCAAAGGACCCCGTGACAGCTCACAGTCATCTGTAACTCCAGTTCCAGGGGATCCAACACTGTTTTCTAGCCTCCGTGGGCACTAGGCACACACATGATGCACATATATGCATGCAGGCAAAATACCCACATACATAAAAACACATAGATCTTTTTCAATTTTTTGCAGAGAAAGAAAGAGATGTCTCAGTGGCTAAGAGCACTTGCTGTTCTTACTGTCCCCAGCACCCTCATGGTGACTCACAACCGTCTGTAACTCCAGTTCCAGAGGATCCAATACCCACTTATTGTGTCCACAGGCAACAGGCACATGGTGCACATACTTACGTGCAGGCAAAGCCATCATATACATACAATAATTCTAAAAAAAAAAAAATGTTATATTACAGAAAGGGGGATTCACTCTGGGAGATGGACTGAAGGCTAGTTCACCGGAGGAGCTTGGAGTGAAATGGTACAAGGTCTAACGCGCTTAGCACAGCGCCACCTGCTGAGAACAGCATCTCTTGTCCAAAATGCCTGACCCTAGAGATGCTTCACATCTGTCTGTGGTTTCTTTCCACAGTTTAGAGTATATACCTGTTCTTCTGGGATACTAGGGGGATGAGAAGGAAGCGTATAGACAAAGTTCATTCCTATTTCGTAAGCAACACACACACACGTCTGGCCTGACGATAACTCCATAGGATCTGTTCGGTGCATCTGTGTTTTCAGCAGCAGCAGCTCAGCCCTGAAGTCAGGTGTAGGATGTTTCACTGGAACGCATGCTGATGTTTGCGATGTTTGGATTTGGGGGCCTTCTGTGTGAGGGCTGTCCAACCTGCAGTGGTGTGGTCGTAGTGATGATAGTGTTTGCTATTTAAATTGAGGGAGGGCTACAATGTTTATAAAGACCAGCAAGGTGCCTCAGTGGGTAAGAGGAGCTTGCTGCTAAGCCTAAGAACCTGAGTTCAATTCCTCAGGGCCCACATGCTAGGAAGAGACAGCCTACTGTAACAAGTGGTCCTCTGACCTCCACATGTGAGACCACACACCCACATGTACACTCGTGCACACACACACACACACACACTCCTAATAAAATGCAATAAAATTATTTTTGCCAGATGTGGTGATGCATGCCCTTAATCCCAGCACTTGGAAGGCAGAAACAGGCAGATCTCTGTGAGTTCAAGGCCAGCTTGCTCTACAAAGTGAGTTCCAATCCAACCAAAGCTATATAGTGAAACCTTGTTTGTTTTTTTAAAAAAAACACACAAAAAGGGTTATTTTTAATGTTGACAGAAAGCTTAAAGTCTGATGAGATGTGAATTGACACTGAAGACTCTCGTGTCACTGTAGGAAGCAATAGATATATGGTGAGAGCTGATGGTAGACGTTTGCTCGGGCACAGTGGCATCCAGCTACGTGGCCACTAGCATGAGGTTTACATGAATTGAGACTCTCAGATGCTGGACTGAAGGAAGGCTGGTCCCACAGCTCTGGTCCTCCGGCTGGAAGGACAGAGGAAGGAACTAACAGCACTAACTCTGGTCTTCTCCACCCACAGCTGCAGCCATGGAACATGTGTGGCGACTGGCAACTCATACATGTGCAAGTGTGCCGAGGGCTATGGGGGAGTTTTATGTGACCAGAAGAATGACTCTGCCAGCGCCTGCTCAGCCTTCAAGTGCCACCACGGACAGTGCCACGTCTCAGATCGAGGGGAGCCCTATTGTCTATGCCAGCCTGGCTTCAGTGGCAACCACTGTGAGCAAGGTGAGTGAGTCTGCTGTCCTTGTGGGGCAGAGGGCCTAGGAAAGAAGCAGGGGTCATGATCTTCCCAGAGGGAACCATCAGATAGCGAAGAGGAAGCCATGCATGGTCTTGAACTACCCAGGCAGAGAAGTAACTTGTACTGACATTTCCCGGTCTATGTATCAGTTACATTGGTGCATTCACTAAGAGAGGCTACTCCATAGAAGACAGAGCAGGATATGGGGGTAAGAGATCATTGTGGACACTGGCTGGCTACCATGCTACCCTCAGGGTTTCTCGGTAGAATATGTGCTACGTAGACTATGTGGTACCTGGGAATGTCCTAAGAGTTGGGGAGGGGAAATGTGTGAGAATGCAGTGCCCACGGAGGCCAGAAGAGGGCACCAGATCGCCTAGAACTGGAATTGGAGGGGTGTGTGTGCTACCTGGGTGCTGGGAACTGGACTTATCTTGTGTTCTAGGGTCTTCTAGAAGAGCAGTAAGCACTCTGAACTGCTGCTGAGCAATCTCTGTAGCCCCAAATTAGGACTCATAAAAGTCAGAAGCCACATGGTGGTCCTGCAAACAAAAGTCTGTGTCCTTGAGCAGGACAGTTCTTTCTGGGTCATAATTCCTCACCTAAAACAACTGCACTGGTTTATTGTAAAGACTGTGTAGTATCATGGTGGATGAGGCTTCAGCATTAAGATGCTAGGGTGACATCCCTGAAGGCTAATAAGACACCTCAAGTACCCAGCACAAGTAAAGCAAACAGACAAGAGACACCAACTACATATTTACCGTACTGTCTATGGAGAACACTTAGGTACAGCAAGGGGTGGGGGTGGCTATGGAGTACAGACCCCCAGATGGCAACATGTACGGAGAAGGGAACACCTTCATGCTACCCCGTTTCCTTGATTGGCACCAACTCAGAGCTGAGAGAGATTTCTCTTCACAGGCAGAAGTAGGCAGTAGGCTCTTGGCACACACCACAGACTGGACTGGACACCCGCGATATTAGCTGTTGGACAGCCTTGCAGCCTCTCAGGCTCTGAGCCCAGTTAAGGAACTACCTGGAGTTTACATGGCTGCACTGCTTCAGAAAAGGAGCCCATATTCTGACCTTTCACCCTGCTGTGACCCAGAGCTGCTGCTGTGCAGTGTGTCCGTCTTCGGGTCAGCAGATACCATACCATCCTGTCCTGAGACGTCACCAGCACCCCACCGTACTTGCGTGGATGGGCGCAATACCACACCAGCCTCTTGAGCCATGAGCCAGTAGACTAGCCCTTAGCCCACAGCACACCGTGGCCGCCAGGGACCAACAGGAAGCTGAGCGTGATCATCAACTGGGTCTTTAAAAGAACCACAAAACTGACAAACCTTTAGGTAGAGTAAGAACAGCAAAGAGAAGACTCAAATCAGAGATAACAAAAGAGACATTACAAGAAATTGAATTAGTAATAAGCCTTTCGGGAGCTGGAGCACAGAGGACCTGGGTTCAATTCCCTGCACCCACATGGCAGCTCATAACTGACTGTTATTCCAGTTCCAGGTATTCCAGTGCCCCTTCTGGTCCCTGTGGGTAGGTACTACACATATGTGATAGGCAGGCAGAACATCCATACACAGAAACATAAAAAAATAAGCCTTCCATCACCAGGACTGGAGGGATGGCTCAGCAGTGACAAGTGCTTTCTGCTCCTCAAGAGGACTCAAGTTTGGTTCTCAGCACCCACAGCCATCTGAAACTCACAACTACCTGTACCTGCAGGGATTCTGATGGCAGGCAAGCACACACATGGTGCATACACACATCTGCATAAATAAAACATTTTTATCTTTTAAAAAAATCTCCCATCATTAACTGAAAGGATGCCTCAATCCTATAAGTCCTGCACCCGAGAGGAGGAGGAGGAGAAATTCAAGCTGGTCCAGAGACCTGCCTGAGTTGCATCAGACCATGCCTTAAAAAGAGAAGGGGAGAGGAGCTAGAGAAAAGGAGGAAAGGCAGGGAGAAGAGAACGGGGAAAGGGAAGTAGGGAGAAGGGAAAAGTCTTCATTCTAAATCCAGGGACTAAGAGTTCAGTGCTGCTTTCTACGTACATCTTAAGAAACCTGGTATAACTCCTCCCAGACTCCTTCAGAAAATTGAAGAGTACAACATACCTCCAGCTCATTCCCCAAATGTCATTACCCTCATACCTAGTCAAAGAAATGTGTGTGAAAGAGATAAGGGGTGAGGGGAAGGGGAGGAAGTGGGGGGAGGGGAAACAGCTAGGAGCCGATGTCCCTGATGATGCCAGTGACAGTCCTTGCCTCCACACTACCGCTTAGGAGGTTTTTCTTCTGCCCAGACACTGACAGGTTCTCTTGCCGCCAGCATGCAGGTCACACCCTGTCACTCAAGGACTTACATCTCACATCTAAATGAAACACCACTGGCGAAAGCTGCTCATGTTTTAACTCTGTAGCAGTCTCAGACTCGGGGTCATGTGGGATAAGCACCCCAGTTGCTAATGTTGCCACCCTGTGCCCCTACATTGCTAAAGGATTTTTTTTTTACAGGTGGATACGGTACCTGTGAATCTTACAAAAATACACAACCCTTTACAAAGCTCTGATTTTTTCCTCTTTGGTGGCCTCTGCTGCTCACCAGAGGCCATGAATCAGTGAGGAGTTACACATGGGTTATAATTTTCCAGGCAGGGAAACTGAGGCACGAGATAGATAGAAAGTGATTTTTCCACAACCCTGAGGCTTCGGATTCTGCTTTCCTGCCCCAGCGCCTGCTCCAAAGGTCCAGGCAGGGTTGGAAGGAGCAGAGGCTGGAGGTGAAGAGCAGGGTCAGAAGTGAACATTCCAGCACACACAGAGGTCCTCTTTACTGCTCTCCAGTTGTTTCTACAACTTCCAAAAACATCCAGAAGGGCCTTTACCTCCTTAGCATCTTTTCTAGATTTCAACTCTGTAGTCACTCCCTGAAAGCCTCCGGGGCCCTGGTCCAGATCAGCTCTGGTAGAATCCTGCCCCATAATAGCTTCCCTCTGCCAGTTTCTCATTGTGAATAGATTCATTTCAGTGTTGATAACACTAGTGTCCAGACTCTAGACCAGTGCTTCTCAACCTTCCTAATGCTACTCCCCTTTAATGTCTCCTCATGTCGTGGTGACCCCCCCCAACCATAAAATTATTTTTGTTGCCGTTTCATAACTAATTTCTCTACAGTTAGGAATTGTAATGTAAACATCTGTGTTTTCTGATGGTCTTAGGCAACCCCTGTGAAAAGGTCATTCGACCCCCAGAGGAATTGAGACCCACAGGTTGAGAACCACTGCTCTAGACCAAGGGAGACAGGCTACTGGGAGTGGTAAGGCCAGTCTGGGACAAATTGATATTCTTCTGCCCTATCCAAAGCTCTTAGCACTCTGCCCACCATGGCAATGTGGGGAAGCAGGCTGAGCTCTGGCAGACCTCCAAGTTTCAGAGACGCCAGAAATCCAAATTCTTAAGTGAATTCAGATGTTTTCGATGTTAGTATTTAAGCACGTTCTATCAGTCAAAACAGATCCAGTAACAGGATTTAGCCACTATTTACTGGTTTGCCAATTCCTTGGAAGATGGAGGGTTAAGCCAACCCCTGCCACCAGAATAGCCTCGGGGCATGATTAAAGCCTTGTGTTGAGCCTGGCATAGTAAAAGTACATCAAATGTGTGGAAGTGAGGAAGGAGGGAGAGAGAGGGGGAGGGAAGCAGAAAGGGAAGGTGGTTGGATGGATAAGTAGACAGGCAAGAGGCTTCAGTGAGACAGCTTGTTTAATCGGGAGGAACAAGGCCTACTTAAACCTTTGTGGTGCATGGGGGCGGGGTGGGGGAGCGGTGAATGTACATCATTGGTCAGGGCCAAGATGCTGGGGATGCCTCATTTGCATGAGGAGGAATTCCTGGTGCTGCTAGCTAGACCTTACCTTATAAGGGGAAAGAAAGTTTTTAACCTGGCTACAGCTACTTGACCTCCTCAACTCCACTCTAGCTCCAGACCTGCTCCTCCTGGTCCCATGGTTCCTTGACCCCACGGTTCCTTGGCTCATAAGTAGGTGCACGTACGGATCACAAGTTATCTCCTGAGAGCCGACCAGGGAAGCACCTATGAACCTCCCAGACCCCATTACCACCAGAGCCCTAACGTTACCTTTCTACCCTCTTCAGAGAATCCGTGTTTGGGGGAGATAGTCCGTGAAGCCATCCGCCGCCAGAAAGATTATGCCTCCTGTGCCACAGCGTCCAAGGTGCCCATCATGGAATGCCGCGGGGGCTGCGGGAGCCAGTGCTGCCAGCCGATCCGGAGCAAGCGGCGGAAATATGTCTTCCAGTGCACTGATGGCTCCTCATTCGTGGAAGAGGTGGAGAGACACTTGGAATGTGGCTGTCGTGCGTGTTCCTGAGCCCTCCTCTGCCACCCACCCATCCTCCGCCTTTCAGACTCCAGCTCACTGGGCTGGGGACAGCCACGTGGAACCTCTTTGAGATTCAGAATGAAGGAGAGAAAGCTGGAAAGCAAGAGGCGAAAGAGAGAATATTAAGTATATTGTAAAATAAACAAAAAATAGAACTTATTTTTATTATGGAAAGTGACTATTTTCATCTTTTATTATATAAATATATCACACCGTCTGAGTATATGGACTATACAGTGAGTTATTTTTACCAAGTTTTGTTTTGTGTTGTGTATTTGTTGTCTTTATAAACAGCTGTTTAAATTTTTAAGACAAAAAAAACACTAATAAAAATGTTTTAAACACAAGGATAAGAATAGAGGAACGGTAGCCTGTCTGAGGCAAGAAGAGGGAATTTTTATGTGTATGTAGTTCTCTCAGGGTCAGCAAAAACAAGAGTGATTTTTCTGAGCTGGCTGGGGGGAAAAGGAAGAGAAAGCAAAAGTGGTTTTAGTTTCTCTGTGGTCTTGGCTCATCCTTTTCCCTCTTCCTTGTAAGCAGCAAGTTTCTCCTGGTCCTGGTTTTCTAGGCCCAGTGTATCCCCTTGCTTCCAAAAGGAGCTGCTGAGCCCTGAAAGTCCTGTTGCACTTCAGAGGACCTGCTGCCTCTTGCTGATCTGATCAGGGCCCCCTGCAGCCTGTGAGCCCCCTGGGAGGTGGAGGCCACCACTCCTGGTCTCCTTGAAGGAATTGAATCTGGCTTTGCCAAGCAAGTTGGGTCTGTTCTGCCAAATCTGTTCTTTTTCTGCCTTTCTGAGAAAACTTGTCCTCAAGATGAGGTAGAGAAAGAGGGGGGTCGCCCCAGGTCCCAGGAACTGGCCTCTTCCTGGCCAGTTTCGTTGAAGTGCAATACCACAGAGCAGGCAGCAGGACTGCCCAAGAATGAGACAGGGAGCCTCCGGTATCTGATCCTCCAGGCCTCCATCTCAGTGCTGGAGAACGGTACCATCCAGCACACATCTGAAACCTAACTTTATCCAATCCCTCCTTCTCTGGTGCACTGAACCCCATTTCTTAACTAAAGACAATCAAGCCCCGTCATTTGCCTTAAGTCATCATCTGATACATAGAGATGCCAGGCCTGGAGTGTGGACTCTAGATTCCCCTCCAGAACGAGTAGACACAGGAGACAAACAGAAAAGAAAAAAAAAAAGATATTTTTCCAGCTGCCTTTTCTCCTCTGTTTTGCTCACTCTTCCTTTCTGCCTCATTCAAATCCAGAAAATTTCTAGAGACAGAAACTCAGGCATTTTAAAAAAAAAAAAAAAAAA